GACGTGGGACGCGTCCCTGCGGGCGCAGGAGTGTGCCCAAGAGAGCCTGACCGAGTCTTCGTTGACGCCGAGTCCGGCCAAGACGTGCCGAAGCACACGGCTGGCAGTCCGGGGCATCCGGAAGACGCTGTCGTACACAGGGCATCTTGGCCATTGGTGCCGGCCGGCCCCGTATCACGGCCGGGCCGATGTTGAAAAGGAAAAGGCTGGCCTCTTTGCCTGAGCCGCTGACTGCGTGGCAGACTCGCTGTGTGAGCGTCCCACTCGGTGACCTTGTTGAGGCCAATGTTCCAGCCGCCGATGCAAATGCTGCAAGCCTTGGGGCTCCTCTTACAATCACTCCTGTTGCTGGCCTCCCTTCTTTAGCACCCTGGATCTTTTTTGAAATCTGTGCAATATTGTGGGTGGACCGCCCCTAGAGTCCGCCGACGCCTCCAAGTTGCTTCCAACCCGGTTCCGGCACACCTACGAATCCCGAAGAAGCCGACCAAACTTCTGATCTTCTTCCCGAAGCGGCAGCAGGACGCTTGCCCAACTCCAAAGCGCAAAGTCTGAAGGTGACCCCGTTCGAAGGATCATGGTTCCCTCCGTCACCCGAACAGAGCGACGGACACGTACAGCTTCGCCAGTACTGTGGGTGCCAATCGACTCTGAGTCACTCTGTGATACCCCAACACCGTCAACACTCCTTATCGAGGGAAAACACATGGAAAACACAACAAACCCTTTCACATCATTTATCCCTGTGGCAACTATTCTGACACCTCGGAGCCTCGGATGCTGAATACTTCTTGGATCAGGATCGAATCGATGTTGCCGTATCCCAGGTCCCGAGACCCAAGCCGGAGGGGCGTCCTGAAAGCGTGGATTCCAGCTTGTCGGGCCAAAGTGAACCTTGCCACTGTTGCCCAGCGCCTTGTTGGAGACCAAGCAGCTGTTGTTGGCCGAGTCTTCCCTGCTTAGTCGCCCTTACTTTGAGTCTATCCGAGCAACCGAAATGATTTGGGCATGGGTCCGAGAATGTGGGGTGCATGCGGTTTGAGGCCTTCCCCGATCCCAAACTTGGAGCTCCCCAAACCCGGACACATGTCCTTCAGACGCCGCCACGGTGACTGAGATGCCCCGGGAGATCAATGCCGCCGCCAGCCACCCAGGCTCGCCGCCCACCTCAGCCGCGATCAGTAGCGCGCTCGGCGCCAGGACGAGCAAAACGAGCAAGGAACCTTGACAAAGTATTAAAGTTTTTTCACGCTTGATCATGTGGAATTTGATGTTGCATTGGGTGCCATGACGTCATTACTAATTACAATCATCCTGGACAAAACGATGCTGGAGAAAACAAAAGCAAAGGCACGCCCTTGCCCCAAACTCAGGCCATCTACTCTTTAACCTGCAAATGTGAAGCCTTACCTTCAAATCAATTTGAGGGTTGAAAACAACACTTTCTCGGCTTACTAAGTCTTTCAGCCATTCCCTCCAGATTGATCGACCGATCCCCGCCCAAATCTTCTGTGAAACAGGGCGCGTCGAGAACGCCGCGCTTCAAACAGTTGAGGCCCCAATGCTGGACCTCAGAGGATGCAAGGCAACCCAAAAAACCGAAACACGGCGTGCTCAATCAATCATGAGCATTTTTTTTTTCCTCAACTTTTTCCCATCATCACCCGCGATGAAGAAGACAAGATAAGCAATGCAAAAGAAAACAAAAACATAAAGAAGGCCACGAATGAAAACTATACGAGCCAGGGTGCGACGCCTTACCCATTAGGCAACTGACCCTCTGTTTTTCTCAATTAAAAACATATAGGAACACGCGAACGCGCATGTTGAGGGAGAGCAGCTGAAGTGTCGGCCCGTGCTGATATGTGGCAGGCATGCTGAGTGGAAAGCACAAATAAAGAACCACCTTCAGAGCCGATGCCATTGCCCTTCCCAACGTCCGCAAGTCAATCTGGCGCCCCCAACCATCCAGTCCACAATCCAATCAGCTTCACGCCTGCGAAGCGCAAACACCAAACCCACGACCCGAGGCCTGTGGCAGCCAAACCGGAGAGTGATTTCCACTGTGCAGCAGTTGCTCAGGTGCGTGTTGGAGAGGGAGGTTTTATGATCCGTTGTGCAAGTGACGAGTTCCATTTCTTCTCCGAAAATGATGTGACCACTCCAATGCAACTCCTATCAGTTGATGAAAGAACCATGCGCCTGTGCACCGGTTTTCCCTGCAAAAACACTGCCAGTGGGATGCCCTTCTAGATCATGTTCAGAATTGATTCTTCCACCTAAGGCTTGCTGATCCTGATCCACACCGCCTCTTGTTCTCACACCACGTGGAGCCATCAGGCAAGGCGATCTAAGTCGCGTTCGGCGCAACAGCAAAGTTGGTTCTTCTTTGTGGTTCCCAACTTCAAAAGGTAGCAACACGCCTTTTGATTGCCTTGTTATGAGTTGTTTGTCCCATCTTGTAGATTCCAGTAATGGGCCAAATGATGCGAATTGGGTGTCTGGGAGAATGACATGGGGCTATACAAGCAAGCATAATTTTTGCTTTGTGAAGATCCTGTTGCCAGTACCTTGCTGCTTCTCTACTCAACGGTCCTCATTCTCCTTCAAAGCAGCCACTTTTGAGAATCAGCCACCCTTGGGGGATCTTGGGGGCATACCCAGGTAGACAACATGGATATTCTACTTCTGTGTGTTTTGTATTCTAGCCAGGCCTCCTTCCCTCCTTAGTGACTCTCTGTGTAAGAATCTTTCGCTGGAAATTGCTCAGGGGCGGGCAAAAACCTTTGATGCTGAAATTCGAGACATGATCCGATGATCCCGCGCTGATGTTTCTCCCAGCAGCGTGGTTGTCCATGCAACATGGGTGCTCCTCACTCGGGCCCACACCCAGTCTCGCCACTCTGGCCTCAGCCAAGCGTGAGGAGAGCAGGTCGGTTGCTGTTTTTTTAAATCAAAGACCCTGCAAACCCAAAGCCATGGACTCCAAAGAATGATTAGACATACAGAGAAGATCACAATCAATCAAGGGAAACGCGGGAAACGGAAACAGCCACATGCTGGATGAAGGGAACTCCCCACATCATCACCCATCGATGACGGTCGCCTAAAGAAAAACTGAACGATGGATTTTGATGGCTCAGATTTCTGTGGCTTGGGGAGGCCATCAGAACCTTTAGGTGGATGGGATCTGCTCGCGTGGAGGTCTTGCTGCGCCAACAGCCTTTCAAACCAAAGCAAGTCAGATTTTGAGGGGGCAAAGCTTGTAGGCGAGAAGGGGAGGTCGAAGCTCAGCAGCAACTCTAGCAGCAAGACCATACAACACCCACTTACTTTACCATTTATCTTTTGTAATCTTCTGGTTGGTCCAGGCTGGAGCACTCAAGCAAGCTACAAAGATCTACAAAGTTATTTCCGGCAAACATGCACACTGCCCAGTCTGTCAGAAAACTCCTGTGGCTTGCTTAGAGTTTTTGGAACTGGCCTAGGGGTGTAGACATCTTCGTGTGCTGAGCTTCTAGATTGAAGGTGGACGGGGGGTCTGTGGATGAATAATGAATAACGATGAATAAATGACTGGACACAGTGTGGATTGATAGGATACAAGTAGCATAGGGGTCGGGAAATATCACCTAAGGCGTCTCTAGGTTTAGCTACCATTTCCTTGTGCTGTGATCACCTTCGATCGCAAAGATCAACCTCTTCATCGCACATGGAGTTGGGAATCTGAACGAATGCCATCCAAAAGGGGTCATGGATCATCTGATCATCAATGAATCAAATGAACGAACAGTAATGAATCTGGTCGTTTCATTCTGTTCGTTCATATTGAATCCTTGGATCATCAACGAATCATAATGAATCAAATGATCGTCGCTCGTTCTCCGAAGGCTGGGGCTCTCCAATTCGCCCCAGTGGCGCAGTCCAGCCCTGGAAGCGGGGCTCGCTCCAGCCCTTGCGCGGTTCTCGAGGTTGCCACCACGGAGGTTGGCTTTTTTGGGTGGTTTGACCCGCGGATCCGCCAGATATTGGCATATAAAAACTTGATTGGTCAACCAGGGTGTCCAACAACTAGCGACTTGCTGACCTGAAACTGTCTGAAAGTGTTAACTAGAGTGACTATAGCTAGGTCAGCCCACTTGGACGCATGAACTTGCTGACACATGTCCATTCCAGGTATATTACTAAAAATATATATGTAAATGTATATATATAGTTATATTTACATGTATATATAGACTGATTGGAAAACAAGGCACAGCGCCGAGCACAGTTTCGACCGCCACACCCGTCTATCCCACACCATCCCAGGGTGTCGCTTTCTGCACGCCCACCACATCAGCAGCAGCTGTGTGCCCAAGAGACCTGTACACTGACCAACCGTCGTCCTGTCGCGCAACAATTCTCTTCAACCGCACTTGGGTGATCAGTTTCTCTTTCGTGGGGCGTTTGTTGGTTCAGAGGTTAGGGGACGTTGGAAGTCTGGAGGTCTAAATCAATTCTAGAGACATGTAAAACGAGCACTCTCTACTTGCGCATGTTTTCCATAGCAGCTCGCTACTTTGGGACATATTCATGGTGGAGGCCTACAAACACAAGCCAGCTACAAACATGAACATACCAACTGGCCCGGGCCTTTCCAACCAACCCAACCTCAAAACCCTAGCTGGCTCGCTTCTGAGACGGGACGATCCCATTTGTTGGGAGGAACGAACTTTCCAGTTGAATAGAAGGTCTGACTCATCGAAGGTCTTCTTGCCTTCAGGCTGCAGCCCTTCAAATTGCAAGGCGCTAGCCAGCTTCATTCTCTTTACACACCTTGAATTCCGTGGCGGGCGATCCAGCTGCCCCGGTGGGAAAGCAACAATATATCAAACAAATCGTTTCATACAGCACATCGCTCGGCTACCATGATACTTCTTCTATAAAGTGGCGAAAGAATGACCGTGAAGGTGTTATGCTCTTGCTCTTCTGGTTCACTCCAACGGCTCAAAGCTTTTGTATTCCTATATGCTCCATCCTATTTCTATGGTTCCTGTCCCACCGCCAGTGAGGCACCATGCCACGAGTGGGGCTTGCCCATGGCTTAAAGAGTTGCCAAGCCCCAGATCAGAGTCCTGGCAGCCGACCAATGTGGACCAATGATTGGAATGGGTCGGCATCTTTCTAATGAGCGAGCACGAAATCATGATGCTGCATTCAAACGAAGCGAGCAACGATTGGGCATAAGAATGGAAGCTGGAACATCTTCACGTTTTGTATCGTTTTGGGCTCTGAACACATGAGCATCTAAGGGGTAACATGGGGTCACTGGGAACCTGTGGATATCACTGGATAGTCTGCTCATCTCCGGACGTGGAGTCTGGGCGACGTGGGACCTCCGCCGTTCGCGTTCGTGACTCGAGGGTTCTGCGTTTCTAACTGTTTCGTTCGTGCTCTCTTCTCGGATCGCCGTGCATGTCGCGTTCAACACATGCGAAGCCGCCGATTCGGAAGAGAGTACTCGCTTGAGACATCCCACTCCGGCGACGTCCAACCCGCCCAACCGAATGCTCAAGTCTCCCCGGTTCTTTTGGTGAATTTGGACCCGTCAGACCAGACCAGTAACTGCACCGGATGGGACCAACGCCTTGTCCCCGTTTTCCACCGGATTCCGTTCACGTCCCGTCACTCGCCGGACAGGACTCAGTGTGGTTTCAGAGTGATGGCGCAATCCCCCCAAAAGGTGGCTCAGCGGTGCATCTACATCGCAGACTTCCACCGCTTGGTGCCTCCTTCAATCACCCAACCCTATGCACTGAATGCCCCAAAACGCGCGCGCGCGGTCTTTTCCACGCGCCACCCGGACGCACGGGGACCTGAGCAGGGCACAGCCGGGGACCTCTTGAGCACTGTCACCAGTGAGTCACCGGTCACTGGCCACATGTGCAAGGTTGAGCCGGGAGTCGAGAGGATGGAACCTCAACCGAGGGCCAGCACTGAGCGAAGCGCTGGTCGTCTTGGCTGTTTCTGGAATGAGTTTTACCCAAAGGCTCAGAAAGGGACCCTCAGTTTGTTAGGGTTTTGACTCTCACAACAAGGGTTTTGGACCTCAAACATGTAGCGGTTTGAGGGTCCATGAGCCTCTGGGTACCAAAGATTTAAGATGTGTTGTGGCTGTCAATGCATTCAACCTCTGTCCAGGCACAAACCTGTATTTCTCCCTCCTCAGCTTTTGAACCAAACACGTCTTCTTCTTCGTGGGAACTGGTTTTCTTCCCTTCCCCGAGTTCCGTTGACATTGACGCGGGGTTCTCCTCTGGCACCAGCCATCAAATCAGCCAATCGAAGCTACTCTTGGCAGTCAGCCATCTGCTGTCATCCCCAACATTTTAATTGTAGAAACGGTTTCACTTTTGACCTTCCGGTCAACAGATCAAGCTAACCTTGCGCGCACCGCACCAACCTTCGAAATTCGAAAGGAATCAACTGTGCTGCCCCACCCAATTGCTCCAAAATGCAGGATTTGCTGCGCTGGCTCAAACGCTTCCTCGGAATGTAGGCCTGTCTGTACCTACATGAAAAGAAGGGTGCAGCAGCTCCCAAGGACCCAGCTCGGCCGAACTCACCGAAGCCCAAAAAGGAACCAAAGCCGAAAAAGCCGGCCGCTCCTTGTGTCCGACAGAACTATGCTTGCAGTGCCACGCGTCGCAGGCACGGGTGGAACTCAAGTGTCAAACCTGGACGACTGGCACATCTCCCCAAAATCTTTCCTGAAGGAGCTCTGAACTCTGATGGACCAGCTATTCCTCCAGGTGTTCTGGTGCTCGAAGTAGAATCTTAAGAAACACCTCAGGTGTCCTTCGTGGGGCAGTCAAGTGGACACTTTAGAGTCGAGTAGGTGCCCATTCAGCCAGGTGTTTTGGCCCATCTCACCCCCATGTCCCACCTCAGCATCCAGGGAGTTGCGCACCACCGATCGGCTCGACCCCTCACACGAGTGAATCACAAGACGGTCTTCGCCCATAGATCACTCTAGAAAGACCCGCTATATTTCCCAGCCAGGATGGTCGGAGACGACTCATGATGGAGACGATATGAGACGATCTTTTTGTGATCTCTTGGGAGGCGACTCATCCCCTCGATCTGGCACCGCGCTACACCCGGCCCCTAACCCGGCTGTTTCTGCAATTTGGCACGTCAAAGCATCTTCCCTTGATCTGGCTTGATGTTCCATATTGCGTCCCGGTGAAACAGACCCTAACCGCCGAGGCCAAAACCGCCGAGACTGGAAAGAGTCGGAAGAATCTGCGCCCAAGTCAGCACAGAAGCAGTTTGGAGATCCAATCAATTTTTCCCAGATGGCGACGCTATGGGGTTCTTAATCAAATAACAATGAGCTGCCTGTGCACGCTTTCGAGACAGGTTGCCGGTGCCGGTGCTGGGTGCCGGTGTTGGGTGCTGGTGGTGGGTGCTGGCTGTGCGTGTGGTGGACACAGGGTGCCGGGTGCAGGGCGCCGGTGCTGGGTGCCGGGTGCTGGTGTTGTGAGCTGGCGGTGCACGTGGTGGAAACAGGGTGCCGGGTGCCGGTGCCGGGCGCTGGCTGCGCGCGTGGTGGAGACAGGGTGCCGGATGCCGGTGCTGGGTGCTGGCTGTGCCAGGGTGCCGGTGCTTGCTGGGTGCTGGCTGTGCGCATGGTGGAGACAGGGTGACGGTGCCGGTGTTGGTGCTGTGAGCTGGCTGTGCACGTGGTGGAGACAGGGCGCCAGTGCTGGGCGCTGGGTGCCGTGAGCTTTCTGACAGTGAAGTGACAACAGCCGCCGCTTCTGACAGTGAAGGGTGACAAACCGCCGCTTTCAGCAGTGAAGGGCGACCAACCGTCGCTTCTGACAATGAAGTGCCAGCATGGGCCGCATGGTTTTATGCACGCAACATCATACGGTGTTGTCGCTTGAGCGTTCTTTGTCTATTAGCGCTGTGGGGGTATTTACACTCTTCAGGTTCTGTTTTGGCCGACAGCTGTGTCAAGGGCTGTACTGTTTGCGCGCATACTTTTGATGTTCTATGCGCAACGTCAGGCTCTCAACCGACCATTGTTTCAGCATGTTTCAGCATGCTGCACACACACAAGAGTCGTGCTGGATGCTGCTTGGCCTTGGGCGAGTGAAGCCAACGGGCTTTGCCGCTTGTGCGTTATACTTTTGTGCGCATACGCTTATACGCGCAAGATCATACGGCCTTATCGTTCTAGAGATCGTCGCTTCAAGCATGCTACAAAGTCAATAGCGGCGCTGGATACTGCTTGGCCTTGGGCCAATGCCAATGACACTTACGGGCTTTGCTGTTTGCGCACATGCTTTTGTGCGCATAAACTTATACGCGCAAGATCATACGTTGTTATTCCCCAAACAGGGATAGCTATGGGGTTCTTGCTGCAAATCAGATTTCGAAAGGGTGTCGGTGCTGGTGCTGGTGTTGTGGTCCTGGGTGCTGGTGCCGTGAGCGCGCGTTTAAGACGGTTGTCAGCTGGCAAAGCGCACCGGTGCTGGTGTCAGCTGGTTGTGCGCGGTGTGTGAAGGTGCCGTAAGCTGGCTGTGCAGGCTGCGTACATTCTTGTTCCAGCCAGTCGCATGTCAACAGGTCGTGGGATTCTGCCTAGCTATCTGGGTCTATGCTTAATTTGGGGCACCTGAACTTCATAGGATGTCGTAGGTTCGTACATCACTGCTCTGAAGAAGGTAACGAAAACCGCCAATTGCTCAGTCAGTCTCGTTGGGCACCCTATTCCCTCCCAAAAGGAACACTTGACCCGAACAAAGGAGTCCGGGGTTGATCCAATCCGTATTCTTCGGGACCGTGCCTGGGCTGTGAAACGGAGCATCTGGGCATCTTCGTCCGGTCTTTTCCCGCGTAGGTGTTTTTTTCCGGAGAATCTGATTGGGTCCCTGCTGAAAGTCATCTTCGCCCATTAAGTTTGTGCACCGGGGTTGTTGACGATTACATTACTTCCTCCCCATACTTTGGAGGTGAGTGCCCTGGGTGAAGCGCCGAGTTGGTAGGTAGACATCCTCCTACCCTCGAGTGCGGAGAATTTCCCGGAGAATGACGATCAGTTGCTGGACCAACGTTTCCAACGTTCGGCTCGACTCGTCGTCCCCTCGACCGGACCTCCAGACTTTCCAGCAATCCCCAAAGAGATCGGTCTGAGCAAGCAGTGCTACACGAGAGTGAGATCTTTTCAGGGAATACTCGATTGAAAAATAATATGATAACAATCAACAACCGGAAAGGACCACAAGCATCCAGTTCTTAGAGACACCTGCGGCACTTCTGCGTTTTTTTTTTGGGGTTTAAAGAGACATACAAATGAGATGCCTCGCGGCACAAGGTTCCAATTTTCCTAGAGGTATTTACCACGCTTGACCAACTTAAAGGTAGATTCACAGTTCATTTAGCCACTCGAAAAAAAACAATCCTTTACCATGCCTGCTCGCACCAGCACTCGTGCATGGAGAGAGGAGACTTGCTTCGCACGTTTCTTTTCATATCAATGTGTGAACGTACATTGATGTTGTTTCTGCCTCAGTTCGGTTGTTGATCGTTACCCCGGGAAGGAAGCCAACGCTTTGTCCTTCCACTTTCTCCAGGTCTCATAGCATCTTTCCCATCATGAAACACGCTATGAAGAACCGGAGAAAAAGCATCCCTCGATGCGCTCAAAGCTTGTGCCGCAGTTTCAGCGGACAACTGGCCACCCCAACCCCTTTGAGGCGACTAGGGAGAGGTCATGCAGGGAGTAAATGGAAATAGACAAGGTATTCTGCTGTTCCTTTCTTCGGCACTTTGCAACGGTGGGACTATCTAGTTTCCTCCGACATGAAGATACTCTGACGCAACATGTGCTTGATTTGGGCCTGGGCTGGACACAAACTCAAAGAAGAGGAACGTGAAGCCAGCGCGGATGCGAAACATCTGCAAGTACAGATGCGAAACATCGCGGAAAAACCTGGGGGTCACGAATCACATGTCAATTAGTGGTTCATGGTCCTTCGGGCAGGGAAAACACATAGCTTCTCAGTCGTTCTCTGCGGATCGTCCAACCATCAGTTCGAAGTGCCTGCGATGCCTTGCTGCATGCCTCAGGGATTGGCGAACCAAAGCCCGTTTAAGGTCAGACCTCCACAAAAACCAGGACTCTTTGAACACATCTCCTCCCTCTGTCTCTTCCTTCAAGCGCCTTCGGAGTGTTGTGTTTTCAAGAGCGCCACTAATTATATATATATATACGTGCTTCTCTGACCGTGTCCGGAGTAAGGCATACTACAAAAAACCCACCTGGATCATCCTGTCTGGGTGTCGGAGATCCTTAAGCCGTGGAGGGTAGTCCAGCTAGGTGACCCAGACTGGATGGTCCTGGTATCAAATAAACGGGTCCCTGCGAACTTGCACCGCCGGCCTCATGAATTGAGCGACGCACCGAGTGTTCATCTCATGTTCAAGGCGCCCGGGTGGCAAGGCCATGTGGAGCGGTGCGTTGTCCACCGGCGCTGTCCACGAGCTGTAGCTGGCCAGCACTTCGTCGTCAAAGTGGACACAATCATCTTCACGGACCTGAGGTGAAACCGCAAAATTTCTGCTTTCGAAACATGCCTTTTTCAATCTCTTTTTTCCTCAATTCTTCTGATTGTTCAATCTCTTGTTTTTCCTCAATCTTTCTCTGAACATTTTGCATAGCATGCGCTGGCTGAGCGCTTCGCGATCCCAACGATGGCCAGATTGTGAGAAGGACTTTATCTATCTTTTGCTTGACACCCAATTCACAAATCCCACAGACTTACGAGGCCAGTGGAGGAGAAGAGTGGTGTAATGATCCATGGAATGCACCATGACGTGATCCATGGTGATGTAAGGTGTTTTTCCTTTTTTTTTGCTGATTCGATTTCGGAGGTTGTGACGCGTGTACTAAACGCGTGTGCTGACGACTGATGTGGCCTGGTATGTAAATCGACGCAGGTGTTTCGCCGACGAAAAAAATCGGCGACCATTCCGGTCAGCTGCATTTCCAAATAATCTCTGATCTGTCTGTCTCCAGTACGTAACTAGACGCACACGCACCTACACATATAACTGTTCGTAACATTGGAACATGCTCTTCAAAACTTCCCGTGATTTCCTGTATTTACGACACACTTATATATTCCAATAATGGCAATACTTCCAATAAGACAATAAGATCATTTTTGAATGAAATGCCGAATCCTGCACCCTTCTGGCACATTCACCCTCTCAACCTCTATCAACCCGAATCCTTCCCACTTCGCCTGAAAGGGGATCTCAACTCCTTCGACCACCACGCCGCGTGCAGCCTTGCTCGCCGTCGCCGAAGTCCACGTCCTCGTCGCTGCCGCGGCGCCCAACGTCTGCGTCCTCGACTGGTCCGAAACCCTCCGCTCGGCAGGCTGCTGGGGCTGCTTGGGCTCGTCTGCAGGGACCACCCTGGTGAAGGACTTCGCGCTCGCGGCACTGCCCATGGCGAAGTCCTTCTGTTTTTGCGGAAGATGGTCGGTGCTTTCGGTGCTTTGTTGCACGCTGCTTGAGGGCTTCAAAGGCTAGGGCACACAACCAATTCATATGTCAACCAAGCGCGCAGGACTTCGGGCCGCTCGACATGGGAAGGTGTGGACCTTCTCGGAAGGTCCAGTGGACGACCCGTCGCAACATGTTGGATGTCATAACCCGAGAAGCATGGTGGCCAAGGGAAGCATTTATGGAGTACAGAACAAAATTAAAGGCAGGGGTGGAGCGAGGCGTATGCTGAACCTTGACATGACTATGCATTACTATCATTAGATATTGCCTCTCCTCAAGGCAGCGCCAAACCTGCAATCGTTTCGTGGATGGTTGGGATTTACGAGGTGTCAAAAATAGGAGAACCCTCAACAACTAAGGTTAATTAATTGATTCATGAAAACCCTTTGCTTTCAGTTTCTCTCACTACTAGCTGGATGACCCGTCCACGGTCGGCCGCTGGAGTCCCCCACTGGCGGAGAGGATCAACCTGAGCAGCCGCGCAGCCAATCGTCGTCTCCCGGCCAGCTTTGGGGAAGAAGAATCACTAGTTGATCGAGTTTATGTTGAGGGAATTGCCCTTCAGAGTACCCAAGTGATTCTTTCAGATGGGTGGTGAAGGAAAGAGCAGTGGATTGGTATAGTTGCCACTAAAGAGTCTTGAGGTGGAAAGAGCGATTCGCGTAGTGCTGTGGGATAGCTGTCGGATGTGAGTCTTAAACATGGCAGCAACATGGTGCATGTGTGACACTGCTTGGGCCCTTACAACAGCTAAGACCGGCTCACAACGGGAGTTTCGTTTTCTACCATCCTGTGAGCCAAAACCCCTTTCTGTGTTTCTCTTACGCTTGGGGGTGATAGTATGTGATAGGTCTAGGTAAGGATCTTGTCACAGTTTCCACCTAGAGCCGCTCAAAAAACGCCGAGTCGGCCATGGCGGCGTGGTTGCCATTCTGCCCAAGTCGCCCATGTCGGACAGCGGTCATGTCGCCCAGGTCCGCAGCATGGCAGGTCCATTGGTGTGGCGTGGGATACTCCCCGACGGAATTGGTTTCAACGTACGCGTGCGGAGCATCGCTCGGCTCGGCGAGGACGGTGCAGCACCAATTGCTAGCTACCAAAGCCAGCCATATCCAAGCCCATGTATATATACAATATATATATATACACAGTATATAATATCAAAACATATAGTATGTAATGTCATGTCATGTAATCCAATGTAATGTAATGTGTGTAGAATCATGTCGAATCCAAACGGCCTTGGTCCGCTTCACACCGATCTTTGTGGCAGCCTCATGTCTGGAAGGGGCGTCGTCTTCGCGCCCGGAATCAGCTCTGAGACGTATGCAGCGACGCAGCGGGCAGCGGTTCGGACCGGGGAGTCGCATCAACCACACTCTGTCTGGAAGGGGAGTCAATCCTGTGGGAAAAAACCCCCGAAGGGTGGAGAAACTGGAGCACACTTGTGCTTCGTAGTCCTGGGTCCCCTTTGAAGGCACATTGGTATTTTCTGTCGAGGGGTCGGAAGCAAGAATATAGACCAAAACTTTCGTCGTTGGCAGGGACATGCACGGATCCTTGTTACAGTATGTTACAGGCCGTTTGGGCACCGGTGTTTTGTATCAACCGGAGTGGGCGATTGAACTCATTGGATCGTGATTCCTACGGACAAGTCTTCCTGCACCACATAGTGCTTCTCATGGTTGCTGGATGATACCACATGATGCACAGTATGATGCACATGTGTCTGTCCCGGTTGCGTGCCGCATGTCCATGACCCAAATCCAAATCCCAAACATTCGACCAAACCCCAGAGAATTCTAAGACCTCGCTCCGACCTCCCCCCAGCCTTTGACTCATAGGATGTAGTCAGCCACCGCGGGGAAGTGATTCCCTCAGTCATGACGAAAAAACGTATACGATCTTGGCTGCCTTGGCTTGGACATTAGACACCAATTCTGCTTCTAGGCATCCCCCTAGCTCATGTTGGACGCTTTAAAATCTTCTCAAAAATGCGCGCAACGAGTGAAACACCCCGCCCCGCGTATTGGAGGAGGGACCTCAAGACCGAACACAATGTAAGGTTACCATATCCACCCATATTCTGGGCTTCCCCTAGAATTGCACCCTAGAGACCGGGGTAGGTATCAAATGGTGTTTCACCATCTGCAGGCATCGTCATGGTTCGCCGCACTGCCAGCACCGCCCTGTTTCACGCCCTCGCCCGCGAACATCGGTTTTATGGAGCCCCTCAAAAAACCAGATAAACCAACCTGCAAAAGCATCCCACACCTGCAAGAGCACACCAATACAGACATTTTCGCGTCGAAAAACAAACACTCCGACACAGTGGCCCCAGTGGCCGTTCAGCAGACCCATGGCATTCCGGAACTCCATGATGCCCTCGCCGGGATCTGAGGCGGACTTCCCCCAGACCTCGCTTCGGAACGTCTGGTTGGCTGAACACATCGCAGTCTGAGCCTGCTCAGTACTGCGTCCACTGCAAACTACGCCATTTGATGGCCACTGAAGGCGCTAGGGTCTATCCTCAGGGTTTCCTTGGTGACCTGGCGGTGCCCCAAAGCGGTGAACACCCGAAAATCGCTTGCTACTGGATGTGCAATCTTGCGACAGGTCGCTACCTAGTTAGTGATCATTCCCCAAAAAACTCCAAATGGAGAACGGTCCCCGACTATCGAGACCTCGATCGTCGCTTGTGTGTTGGGAAATGATCAGTACCATCACCAAGTGGCTGAGATGAACTTTTGCAAACTTGAAGTCCAAATGGCGTTCTTGACGTCCTGACTCTCTGGTTCTGCGTGGTCTCGATGGGTGTCATGCTGAAACTGTTGCTAAGACTTGTGGCAGAATTCCAGCCTCCAACATATATATATATAATATATATTTTCTAGTGGCAACGAAAGGACAAAGCGACGCGGTCGCACCTTTTCGCGAAGCGAGAACGAGAAAAAGCTCAAGTGGATCCAGCTGCGGCGGGTGTGCATGGAGACTCAAGAAGCTGGGGAATGCAGAACCGTGAAATTCACACTGGTGTATTTTTCTTTTGGGTCGACGATCGTGCACACCGGCCATTCCATCCACTGCTGAAAAGTGGAGATCAGCTCCACGCTGGCCTTCGTGAGGCAGTCAGCCCACATGACATTGGTGGGTGTCCACCGGACGCTTTTTGCGTCCACATGCTCCTGGATCGACCGCACGGTGATGATCGTGCGCTTCTCACTCAGGGCCGGATTCGGGCTCAGAAGTGCATCGTAGAGGGACCGGCAATCGGTCACCTGGAGTTGGGCCAAGTGGCATTGGCCGAGCACATAGTCCTCATAGAGGAGCTCGCTGATGTAGCTGTTGATGTAGGTGGCTCTGTCGGCCGTCTCATCCATTGAATTGGCCTCGGAGGCCGCGGACTGCGGGCACTCTTCCAGTCCAGGGTGGATGCTCGAGCGGTGCCGCTCAAGCAGGCCGGCGAGCATGCCAGGATCAGCACTCCCATCTGGCTTTTGCCACCAGGTGCATTGGCCCATGAGGAGTCGGAGTATCCGACCCGGTGCATGGCGCGGTCGAAGCTGACCGGGTGGTAAAGCAAGCCCAACGCAGCTGTGTTCTTGACCATGTCGATGCATTCGTACAGCTGCTGGAGTTCTTTTGTTGTGGTGTCCTTTCCATGGTTGCTGAGGGACACCAAGGCACTGATGTCGGGCCGAGACTGCCCCGACAGCCACTGGAGTGATCCCGCGCAACTGCGGAATTCTTTCCATTCATCTGGGCTCAATTTGATGCCCTCGCCAAGCCGCTTCTTCTCCACCTTGCCGGGGGTGATCTCATTGATGAAGGCTTCTTGCGTCACCTTGATGGCGAAGAGGTCGCCGTCTTTCACCAAGCGAAGCTCCTCGCCGCGGAAGGTGATGGGTGTCTCTTCCGTCAGGTAGGTCTGGCTTCCCCAGTTGAACTTGCCCAGGATGCGGCTTGTGTCATAGTCATCCCTGAAGGCAACGAGGAAGTCGTCAACGTGGACGATGCAGCAAACCTCCAGGTAGCCGTTGGTGTCCCGGCTGTAGAACATCATATGCTCAAGCTTGTGGCGTGTCAGCTTGGCGTCATTCATCAGGACCTTGGTGACATGGGTTGTCCAGGTCCTTGGTGCGGAACAGAAACCGTACAGGTTGCCGACCACCTTGTAAAGCTCTGCCGGAAACGTTTTGGCCATTTGCTGGATTCCATCCCGTGGTGGCCTCATGTAGAGAGGCAAGGGTCGTGCTTCAGGACTTCCTTGGAGAAAAGCCGTAGAGACGTCTCCAGCCCAAAGTTTCCATCGATGCTTCTGCCTCTCGACTCGGGCGTTCAGCCCAGCGCTTGCCAGTTGAAGGAGGATGGCTTCCGCATGTCGGCTTGGGGTCGGACTTGTTCTGTCCAAGATCTCCATGTCCGGGTCAAGGCAGCCCAGAACCACTGTGCGGCATTTTGCCTTGAGCGGAGGGATCGATCGGTTCTTGTCCCTGTAGGCATTCCTTGCTGGAATGATTCTTCTTTTGAGGACCGCTGAGGCGTAGACAGCCTTTGACTCAGCTTCGGTCAGGGCCCTGATGGATTCCCAGGAGAGCCAGGATTGGAACTCCTTGATGTTGGCGATGATGAAGGCCTCGAGGGTGCCCTTGTCCTTCTTCATGATTTCACGCCAGGGAATCTCGCGATCCATGGCTTTGCGTTCTTGGTGACTCATCCGTGCCAGATCGGATGGCTGCTTTCTTTGTTCATCATCGGAGGATGCTGAAGAGAGTGGCTCATTGAGCATCTCGGCGGCCACTGTTCTGTAGACCATGCATGGGCTGTCACTCTCGATGATCGGTGAGCCATCCCATCCATCAGGTTGGGGTGTGATCTGCTGAAGGCGGCCACGGTCTTGAGATGTCATCAACATCACCTCATGCCTTGGCTGCTTGTTCAATGGCTCACTGCAGTCTCAGGTTCTCGATGAGGTGGTGCAGTAGCATCCATCAGAACAGGAGTTTCCTGTTCGCCATCTGCAGGTAGTTGAGGCAGTCCAGGATCGGGTGGAAGAGCAGGAACCGGTGGTTCAGGTAGTTCGAGATTGCCACCCTCGATCATGTCGTCCTCAGAAGGTGGTACTGGCACGTTTTCTGGAGGAAGACCGAATGAAGGTCCTGCTTGTGGTGCCTCAAAGTGCTGGTGTACCTGAACATTCTGTTGCTTGAAGGTCGGAGAGTAGACCATCGGTTGAGGTCGTGGTAGCTCAGGAGTCTTTGGAATTGGAGCCGGTGTTGCTGGTGACGGTTTCAGTGCCAGAGGCATCACCAGATCAGGTATTGGCTCAGCCCGTTCAAGTTCAACTTCAGGTGCTGGTGCTTCGAGACGAGGAGGTGGTGGTCCACGTTCATCTTGCCATAGCCCCTTCTGCAGTCTAGTACTGCCGTCTCGCAGCATCTGAATGTCCTGTGATGAAGGGCACCAGTTCTCAATGCCAAATGCTGGCCGAATCTGTTCATAGGTGGCTTGAACCACACTGTTGCCATTGTGAAGCCAGGCGCTCTTGTTGTCAGGGTCGTGGCTCATCAGTCGCGCCAGGACATAGCCTCCACGTTTGCGCCCCTTTGACTTCTTTTGCCATCTCCAGTATGCTGCCATAGAGCCAGGTAGGATAGCCCGAGCTTCTTCACGAGATGGCGCTGTCTTTCGTAGGAGGGCTCTTCGAACTGCATGTGATGCTCTCGTCTCTGCGATGATGCGCAGAGCGTGGCTTCTCATCTCCTCCGCATAGACAGCGTCGTAGTTGGCCAGGAGTGCACGTTCATCACCAAGGATGTCACCAGGAAACCTTGGCAAGCGGCCGAAGACAGCCTGATAGGGCGTGCGCCCCTTGGAGGTGACTGAACTGTTGATCGCCTGGGTGGCGGCCAGGGCGATGTCATCGAGCATCTCTGGATGTGTGACTCCATACTCATCAATCATCTTTTCCATTGTGGAGCGCAAGATGGCGTTCTTACGCTCGATGCTCCCGATTCTCCAGTGTGCCTCAGCCGGCGCAATGAGAAGGTGTGTGCCAAAGCCTTCGATGCGCTCTTTGAACTCGCCCTCAAAGTTCCGGTCGTCGTCAGCTTCGATGACCAGAGGATGTCCAAAAGGCTTGAACCAAACTTGGCAGAGGGCGTGGTAGACATCTTTGGCGCCTTGTCCAGTTAGCCGAATCGTCTGCTGGTAGTTCGTGGCCATGTCGACAATGCCGAGGAAGCAGTGATTGGCGCCAGTGAGATCTCTCACCCAGTAGCGGTCAATTTGAAGTCGATCGCCGAACTGGCCTGACATGGTCGGTATGGCTGCTGGACGAGATTGCTGAGGAAGTTGTGTCCTCTTGCATGATCCGCATTGAAGGTGGTCGATGCAGGAGAGGATCTGAGAAGTGATAGCCCCGTGCATCGTCAGAAGGCGGATCATCTCTTGTCGGGCTGGATGTCCGGCGTTCACATGTAGTCGAGCCACTGAAGCTTGAACTTCTCGAGGAATTCCGGCAGGTAGTCCAGGAAAGCTGACGTCAGTCTTGAGGCCTGGAATGTGATGATGTGGCTCTTGTTCTTTTGGCTTGTCTGGCTTCTTATCTTCATCTTCAGCGACCCCATAGAAGAAGATCGCGTAAGCCACAGGACGGCCAAACTTCTGCCTCGGAAACTCGAGAGCTCCAAGATCCTCAGATTCCAGCTCGAAGGTGTTGTCGTTGAACTGGATGGCGCTGCCTCGATGGGTGTATGGAAAGTCCTGAGGCAGTCGGCGAATCATTGGTCTTGAGGTGGCCTGGACACGGCTCAGCTCCCAAGGTACAAGCTCGCTGACGATCTGGTAGATCTCGCTGGAGGGCTTGAGTGTTATTGTCCGGGCTGACGTGTTGCCGAACAACTTCTTCACCATGTCCAGTGCTTGAGTCCAGCGTTGTTCATCGTGGACCGGTTGAGCATATAGGACCCAGTGCACAGGTTGAAATCGTGCAGGATAACGTCGTTGTGCTTCAGCTCGTAGGCCACGAAGCATCGCATGGACCATTTTCACAGGGTAGACTTGTGAATCTGTCACCCGTTGGCCTTCAAGCGGCCTCGCTTGTGTCTTCTCCTCCTTGGTCATGCGGCAGGAGAGTTCGTTGGCAATCTCAGTGGAATTGGTGAGGCAGCCGAAGGACTTGATGATCACATAGCCGTCTTTGTCAGTAGCGCCATATGCACCAGAGTCGCAACTGCCCTTGATGACGTCCGGGTGCTGTGCCAATCGAAGAACCTCCGGTTGATCCCAGAGCCTGCTACGGAGCGGGTTCTCGAGGAAGAAGAGATCACCGTTGGTGAGCTGTTGAAGGCACCGTTGTATGGCGAATCGCAGTCCATCCAGGTCTGCCTGACGAAGTTCATAGAGTTCCTGACATCGATCAGGTGAGGAGTAGTTCAGGTTCTCATTGAAGATGTTGTAGAGGGTGCAGGGATACCCAACCAGCAGCAAAAGAGGTCGAAACTGGTTGATGGCCTGGATGCACCATTTCCTCACTTAGGACTTGTCGGACGTTCAGGTCATAGCCATCGTCCTTCTCAAAGGGTTGGAGCGAAGTCAATCCATGCTGCTTTGCCAAAGCCGTTGGTCTTGCAGCGCCGCTGTAGAGCTCGAGGAGGTCGACCTTGTTCTTTATGATCTCCTTGTAGGGCATGTGGTCGAGCACGTTCACCTCATTCTCCAAGGTCTTGACATTCTTTGCCATGTTGCCGCTCAGTCGCTTCCGGAGTCCCAGCTTAAGATGCGACTGTGACTGTGAAGGGTGCCGAAGGTGCTGGCGTTGTCCATCAGGACATCGAAGTCTTGGAGCGCTGCTGCTGTCAGGCATAGTCTCCTCTGGCACCAGCATCAAGGGCTCCGCGTAGACCTGAGTGATCGATTCCACCGCCGTCCAAGGTGACTGCGGCGAGTGCGAGGGTTTGGAGCAAAAGCCATCCGACTTCCAGACGCCTTCCGCGTCGTTCCAGCGCCACCTCTGGTAGCATGCTTTGCACCTTGCGAAGTTGCCCCATCCGTTGCCGTAGCGGATGAAGTCCGGGTGATTGCATGTTGGTGTCTTGCCGAATGGATTGGTCGGAGCATAGCCCATGCGGCTGGCTTTGCTTGTCTTGCCCTTCGGAGGTGCGAGCATCAGCTCGGCGCCCGTGCTGTAGCTCTGTGACGAAGATGCCGGTCGACTTGGCGGTGGTGGACTTGCCGGTGTCGGAACGATCTTCTTGTCCTTGGAGGCCTTGGCCTGTCCACCCTTGCCGGTGTTGGCATTCTTGCTGAGCTTCTTGGTGCCGTAGGCTAGCATTGCCTTGTACTGCTCGAGCGGCATGATGCCCATCTTGACTGAGGCCGCCATTTGCGTCCACACGCTCATGGTCAGGCGGATCAGCCTTTTCACCAAGCTGGCCCATGACTTCTCTGCCGATGTCGCTGGCCCGTCGTGCATGAAGGACGGTCTGAGGAAGGTCAGCGGGCTCGAGATCAGCTGTCCCAAAAGCTGCAGGCGGTGGCAAAATGATGACTTCATGTTCCTTCGAGTGCATGAGCTTCTTGCAAACAGGACTGTCGTGTGACCATGACATCAGAGCATGCGAGTCCGTGGTGGGAAATTCAGTGATCTTGATTGCGAGGTGGCCCAAAACTTTCACAAGTGGAACCTTCAAACCATCAAACACACCCAACACGGCGATCTGGTTGGCGAAATCCAACGTCAATGACAACTTGTGCATGACCGAAAGGCTGCCCAAAAACGGAATGTCTGCTGCTAAAACACGTACTCCAAAAACACAAACATGACCTCGAATGCCGGCGGGAAGAAACGCGAGCTGGTTGGAGGTCAAGGGTTCGCCGGCACCAAATTTCAACTTCTCATAGCTGGACTTGATAGGGATGTCATACCCAAACTTGTTCATAATCATCTGGTGCTCGTTGAACCATTGGCTTCCGGTGCACGATCGTTGGCATGCCGAATCCAAAATCATGAAGTGAGCAGCGTGCTTCATGGAGGCTGCAGGAAGTTGGGAGGTTTGGAAAACAACCAAAACATCATGCGGCTCGTACTCGACGTCCGAACATCCCTCCGCTTCCTCATGAGTTTGGAAGCCCGTGTAGTGATTCACAGTGAACACCTTTTTGCCGTCCGACTTGAGCTGGAGGCTGCTTTGCTCTTGCCGCTGCCTTTGCCCTTTTTGGCGGAGACAGTGCAGGCTTCGATGGATTTCTTTGGAGCATTCCTGAATTTGCGGCCTTGGTTCATGGCCGCGAGCTTGCGAGCCGTGACGGTGAGCACTTGCATCAGATGTTCCACATCTTCGGCACCATGGTTGTCATCGGTGCCGTCGATGTCGTCACCAGCATCCTCTTCGTTGGCCAGCTCTTCAAAATAAAAAGAAGGATCCTCAGGAGCAGGTGGATCCTCTGCCTCGCCATCTGGCGAGCCATCCATGGTCTCGTTGACCGTCTGGAAAACACGCCTCGGTCTATTCTTCCCATCGCCCTTGCGGTAGGAGGAAGCCGAGGTCGGAGCTGTGCTTGCCGAAGACATACTCGAGGAAGTAGTTCCGCTCGAGAAGTGCTTCGACGGAAAACCTTTCCCGCCTGGTCCTTTTGAGCTCTGGTAGGCTTGGATGATCGGAGGTGGAGGCCTGTAATCTGGAAATTGCATGACCAGGGCCGATCCGATCGCATCGACGCTCATGTCCTGGTTCGTGCCTACTAGAACCAGTCGTTGTTGATCTTGGCTCAACCGGCAGCGGTCCAACAGACGGCTGCCTCTTGCTTCAGCATCGTAGGACAGAGCAATGTCCACGCCGACGGCTTTCAGAGCCAGTTCGGTACGTTTGTACCGGTTGATGAAAGTCCGTAAGGACTCTGAGCCGAAGCGGCTGATGTTTTCGTAGGTGTGGAGGTAGTGGCGCTTCACGTAAACTTGCTTTTGTTGGAAAGCGCTCTTGAGGAGGCCGAGGATGGTCTTGACCCCAGTCTTGGAGTAGACTTCACTCATCTCCAAAAACTCGAGTTGCTGTTCTGCTTCTCCCTGCAGGGATGCGTACAGGGTCAAACCAATCTCAGCTTGCGACATGAAGTGTCTGGCCTGCATCTCCCACAGAAGTACCTTCCGCTCATAGCGGTCGTAGGCGCGGACATCTTCAGGGTTGAAGTACCACTTCGGTGGAGCAGGAGCTGCGCCTCCACGGAACTTGATCCCCTTGGAGGGTCCCATCATGGAATTCCATGAGGCTTCTGAAGAATTGCCCTTCTTGATGAGCTTGGCCAATGCCTTGCTGAGTTGGTCGATGGGATCTTGCAATGCAGGTCCGGGTGTCGCACGTTGTGAAGCAGCCATCGACGGAGGTCGAGAAGGTCGTACAGGAGTTCGTTGAGGTTCCTCCTCAAAGTGGTATGGGTTCTCAGGCATCTCGGCTGCCTCGTCTGGCAGCACAGGATCGTTGGTTGGCTGCTCACTCTCTGCGTGCTCTTCTTGGTGCTGTTCATCGCCCTCAGGATCATCAGGTGGGTCGTCTGGTCGACCATTGCGCCTTCGTCTCCTTCTCCTTCTCGAGGATGAAGTCTGTGAGCCCTGTGAAGACGGTGGTGGACCGGAGCTATCATGTGGCATGTACATCCATGTGCCAAATGCCGTGTGGTGCTTCTGAGGTGCACGAGGGTCGAAGAACTTGTTGGCGCCACAGTATTGGCATGGCATCGAAGGTGACCATCTGTGGACTCGTGAGCACATGGCACAACACAACTTCACCTCCTCCTCGGCCGCGGGTCCCCTGTCAGCTCGGGGAGGTGGTTCATTGCGTCGATGCCCTCGAAGGTCTTGACCTGGTTGTACCGGTGGTTCATTATGGCGTCGTTGATCGCGAGCAGGTCGTGATTCTTTGGGAGGTCTTGGTACCTTAACACCGCCAGGTTCTCTAAGGCCAGGAGGTTCGGTCACATGGCCAGGTACACCGGCAGGAGGTACTCGAGAGGCTCGGGAATGAACAGGTTCGTCACCAAATAGGTCGAACTGGCCATCCGGCATCTCATCAACAAAGCGCTCATGGAGAGGTGCCAAATTGGGACGTCCAAAGGAGTCACCCACTGGTCCATCGTCATCCATGTCCTGGAGACCTTCGTCGGAGCCCATGAAGATCACTTCCGGGCCGGAGGTACTCAACAGTTGCGCAGTGGTAGCATGCGGTGGGGCATCGAACTCAAGGTCCTCGTCCGACTCGGCAGCCATGTCGAAGTGCAGCGGCCCACGAACTTGTTCATGAGGGGGTCGAGGACGTGGAGCGACGCCGCCGCCGGCGCCCGGCCGAGCTCGTCGCAGCAATTGCGGACTCCAAGCCATGGCGCGCCCCAGATCGGGGCTCCGCTGCCAACTAGTGGCAACGAAAGGACAAAGCGACGCGGTCGCACCTTTTCGCGAAGCGAGAACGAGAAAAAGCTCAAGTGGATCCAGCTGCGGCGGGTGTGCATGGAGACTCAAGAAGCTGGGGAATGCAGAACCGTGAAATTCACATATTTATATATATATCATATATAATGTACCCCAAATTATCCCAACATCGTGTGGTCGTCCTTCGCAGCATCTTTGGTCCTTTGAGATGTCGGTTTTCATCCCAACCAAGATGCGGATCAAACGCTTCGATGGGATACCCTTACAAACCCTTCCAGAATTCGACCTGGTTCCCTTCCGTTCACCGTGGTGGCGTGGCGTTTTCCCCTTCCCAGGAGTGCCGGATGGGTCACCCGGACCGCCCGGGACACGCGGCAAACGGCGGTGTTCCTGGTGGTTCCGGATGTCCACGGTGCGATAGGCCACGCCATCCACCTTGAAGGCGATGGAGTTGTCAGAGAGCTCAAACCTGAGCTGAGGTGAAGCAGCGGAAGGACCACAAAAAGGGGTGTGCCCTCCACATCAAAAGGAGCCGTTTTAGGAGGTCCTGCTGTTTTACGAGGTCACCATTTTTTGACCTTCAAAAACTATATATATATATAATACATATATATATATAATCACATTTTTTTTGGGCATCATACAAGTATCTTTACCTTAGCCCCATGACACACTCATAAGTTTAGCTTTTCTTTTTGCATTTTAGCGACGCCGATGGCAATTCATCGCCGAATTAGGAACAGCAAGTAAAGTGCCGACGTGGGTCACGCTGGATTCACGCTATGTCACGCTTTTACGAAAGCGTTTTAAGGACAAAACCTAGCAAAACAAAACACATAAAAAAAAACATGGTTTAGGTGGGAGCCAGGTTCAGGCACTTGCAAGCTCTAAGCACATATAGCTATTTTGGCGGCTCATCCAAAGGCATCAGTATAATAGTAAAATCCAGCTTTCACTGAGTAAAGAACATCTTTTATTATCTTTTACTATATCATACTATACTGTATCATTTGCGAAAAATAGAAGACGTCGCTTCGAAAAATAGAAGACGTCGCTTATGGAGTAAAGTCCGTCTATCTACCATTTCCACGAAAAGTTTTTGGAGGTCACATTTTGCTATTGCTTTTGCAGACAATTGCCCAGTAAAACCACGGCGCTTGACTTGAAGGGTTGCAAGTTACTTGTAACTTCTAGTCATATCATGTCATATACAAATGTAGTTCAGGCTTCATCTGGCTTGATTCGACTCTTTCGCCCCCTTTCTGAAGTGGCCTGCACCATCCTCTGCACCTTCGCACTCCGAGCAGCCCATACTCATGTACATCCGCCGAGACGTCGAAGGGCACCGTAATCCAATCGTTGTGCTCCACGGCGATGTCGGTGAACATGTTCGTCCAGATCCGCGAATGCCCTCCTGATCGTACCCATCGGCCCGATCGGTGGTCCCATGTGCCGGAGTGGAGTTTTGGGTGGAACAAGGCTTTAGATGACCCGAAGATCCGGAGGCATCAGGTGGACACCCCAAAACAACCAGACTCATTTGAAGTTCATTTGAGATGGGGTTTGCAGAACCTCGAGAGCCATGGAGATGTGGCCTCTGTTGTGGTCTGAATGTTTTCGGTTTGGATCGTCCCAAAAATGGTCATCCACAGCGGAGAAAAATCGGTAGAGCGTGGAGGATTATCTTCAAACTGAAGGGCCGATGACAAGGGAAGATTGGCTCAACATTCGTTGGTCTAAGTGGGTACGTGGACGCCAGCCCAAGACATGTCACCCACATCGCCTACGGAGGAACATGACAAGACCTCTCCGAAGCAACTCACACATGTCAGTCTTCTGGTCTGCTGAGCAAACGGGGGTTACCAAAGGTTACAGGATATGCAGCTGAAATGTGCTGCACAGTTGAACCCGTCCGACGTTCTAAGTCGTGGGTCAAATCAACATCCAGAGTGTGTCCACACACACAGAGTATATATATATATATTCATCTGTTTAAGGATATTTAAGGTATGAACAAACATGAACAAACAACGGCACCATTTCGGACGTGGATTCACCGGCCGATCTATGGTGGAAACCCTCTTTGAGCCACATCCACAAAACCTACCTCCACGTGGTGGCAGGTGGTGCTGCCACGCGCCTGCCATGTTGCCCATGATCTCAAAGTCGAGCTCCACCCACGGATGTGTTTTTGTCCTTACTGTTGATGAACCAAACCCCACAACCAAGCCAACATCGATACAATATGGTAGAATCTCCATATCACATGGGCTCACTTGATGCGGTCCCGCGTGTATGCGTTTGCACTCAGTGTGTGCTCTGCTCTCTCGCATCTGTTCTCCATATTCCCTCTGGTGGCTGCTCTCTCCATAATCATTCTAAGGCGAAGAACAAGTGCGTCTGCGACCCCTCTCCCACCCTCCACAATCACAAATTGGGACTCTTTCCGAGCGTTGTGCTGAAGACCTGGACAAACATTCGGCACTTAGCAGAGCTCTGCAGAGACATCTGTCACATCAGCACACTCGTTTAGCATCCATCCGAGCGCCGTCCTTTCCTCAAGACGCACACAACGGCACCCACATACGTTGCATACCAGAAGTCCCAAAACAATGTTTCTCGAGATCATTTGAGAAAAGGCCTCCATCCACACCCCCAACAACCATGGAAGTGGACAATCCCCTCTTCGTAGGGGAACATCGTATTTCCAGGATCCTTTTTCTACTTCCATGATTGTTTCAGGTAGGGTGCTGTATGTATAATACTATATTATATACATTCTTATTCCTTCATGTGCTCCTTGAACTCCCACCAGCTTTGGGGGGACGGATTTGCCGCCCTTTTCCGGCTTCTGTCTCAGGTGCTTGTCGTAAAGGCCCCCATTGTTGGAGAGATAAAAGGTGGAGACCACTCCTGGACCCGCTGCCGCCTGGCGAGGGCTCTGGGTTTGGATAGTCGGAGAGAGGTGAGAAGGGTTCGGTGAGCACTCGGGGGGTCGAGAGAAAGGAGACCGGCGTCGGCCTGTCGGCTCAAATGGACGGAATCCCAAATCAACAGCTATCGTTTATTCTTGCCAGAGCAATTTCTGCTGTCAAGCTTCCCTACAACCAGACTTGTGATGGTCTCTGACAGCGTACCGTGCGTACCGTGTGGTGGTGAGCCAAACTGTCGCTGGTGGTAGTGTGACCGTGAACTAGGGTGAGTGATCATGCCTCTTCAAGCTATTCCACGGGTATACACCAAGTAGGATCTTCCCAACTGCGTGACCATATCCGATGTAAACTTTTTCAGGCATATCCCCCAGTTTTAGCTCATGGAACATATAGAAATTGGTGCATCAATTGACATGTGAGACCCTCCTCCTCCCAATCCTCCCAACCTTCGAACTTCGCGGAACTTCCGAGGGAATCGGCCTTGATGCGGATGGAATGGTACCCACGACCCACGAAGTTGGAAGAGCTCAGTCGAGTGCCTGGGAGGCACAACGGTGAATTGGCCAAGCGGTGGAAAACGCGAGAATCTCTTGGGATGGGGGAGGTCAAAGGGGCAAGAATTGGATGAAGACTCTTTTGACTGATCTGTGGACTTCGAGAGCGGGATTTCAAGCACACGTTTCTTGAGGATGACAGCTCTACACCCCTGCTGGGCCCTGGCCCCTCAATATTTGGACACCTGGAGAACATCATGTGCATCTAGGGGTGTTATCCATTGTCATCGGATGTCTGATCAATGACGATTGATGTGCACCTCAATTGAAGTGTCATGTGCTCCTCCACCTGATGTCCGCGAGGTGCATCACTTGTTGAATTCCAAGAAGGAGCCCCACCCTTCCGACCAAGTACTGTACACTTGCAGGCCTTCTCCCGAAGACCCGAAGGGCACAGCGATGGGTTTTTCACTGGACCAATTTTTGGTCCGAGTCTTCTGCGCTTCATCTACCTCGCCATCCTTGCCCAGGTAGAGATTTGAGCCTTTTCTTCGACCCTCTGACACTCAGTGGCCTACAACTCTCTACCAAACATATAGCCTTGTTCGTTCGAGTCACCCTCCATCCCCCTAGACCTGGCACCGGAGCCAAGCCCAGCCAAGCCCACCTATCACCGATCCTGCGTCCAAGAGGCCACAAAGGTCGGACTTGGGACCCGTGCAAGAGATCCTCGGGTTCGCTGACCGCTCGGGTCCCGTCTGCCGGTGTCCGGCCGATGGCGGGCTCCGGGCCTCTCTGTGGAGAGACTTTCACCTTGCCGCACCTAGACCTCCAAAGAGCTCGAAAAGGCTGTGTGAATCCGGAAACCTCACCCAGGTGGTCGAAAGCACCATAGCAGCATGGCCGAAGACATTCACCCAATAGAATATCATCAGGCACAAGGTCATGCACCCTTCACCAGCAACATGCGGCGCAGTCTTCTTGAGCAAGACCACCGATATCAACATAGGCATAACCATGCACAGCCGAAAGGTTACACCCCTATCACTATCGCTCTGTGGAAAAAACAAAGAGGCAACGTGCGATGAAAAACCAGCTTGGGTTGTGAATGACACATCTGATCCAGGCATAGGTTTCATGTCCATGTCGGAACCTTGCGTGTGTCCCACAACTCCATAGCAATTAGACAAGCTGTTTGCTCGATGATCAGAACTCCTCCAGGGAGAAAGCCTAACAAATATCTGCAATCCGAACTCTATCAAACACTATACTCTATCAGTTTGCTAAGTTTCTGCATTTTCTGCATCTGTTAGGATCAAAATGTATCACCCACCTATTGGGAATGGCCCTGGCTTTGTTAGGTTGGCAGCCTGAAGATGTGGTCCTATCTCCGCACCACCGTCAAATATCTTTCAGTGTCCAAGGAGGAGTGCGGGCTGGGTGGATTGCTTCAATCAACAGTGATCCATTACTATCAGGTTTCCATAGCTATCAGCATCTTGCAACTTGCAAGGCATCATAGGCGTTTCCTGACCCACTTGCAAAAACCTGACATAGTGACATAGCTATCCATCAACTGCCTCGTCAGCCTACCTCTCCGCCCACCCCTTAGCCGGCTCAGGGCTCTGTCGTACATTGCCATGACCTGGGTGTTTTCGGCGAAAGAAGCACAAATCCATTTCTGCAACCCCAAGCAGCCACTGAAGTGGTTGGACAGTGGACATCCCTCACAACAACTTCTTGCAATGTAAGAAATCTTGACCACACTGCGAACCAACCAAGAATGAAATTGTCGTTAAAGGTTCCAGGTTGATACTCATCATGGAGGTTGTCCCCTCGCACCATACTGATGTACATAGAATACTTATCACACCTTGTCGCAGAGCTATGAGGAAAAAACACATCTGCAATTATTCCCTTCAATCGGAGACTTGCCCTGGCCCTTCACATCTTGCGGGTCCAGTGGGTCCCATGTGAACTTCTGCTGTGACATGTGCAATCCAAACAGTCCAACTGGGAACGCAGCCAGGGTCTTTCTCCCGATCTCCTTTCTCCCGAGCTTGGAAAAAGGCCAGGTCAACGGTTTCCGTGTCGACTTGTTCGGTTTCGAGTGTTGACAGGCTTCGGCCCTGGATCGAGACACAAGTCATTGAGGGCTGTCCGGCCATGCCGGATCCCAATTTTTGAATGGCTCAATGTGACATGATTCGAGTTGCCAGGGCTTGGTGTACCGCAGTTGGTGTTGATTTGTCTTTCTTCCTGAGCTTCAAGCAATGCACACGTCACTATATAGTTCATATTCATGTTCAGTTTCTCATAGGGCATGTGAATGGGGGCTGAGGCTCCACTGATTCACATTGGCTTTAATGTCTTCGCTCACAGGTGGTCCACACCGGCCCGGAAACATGCTTGGTGGCTCAGCGGCGCTGGCAGTGGTTGGCGGAGTACGCCACGGTCCAGCCACCTCCATCGCAGGAGTTAGGACAGCATTCGTGCCAGCAATAGCTGCCATCACTTCCACCTGCAGCGGGGGCAGGTGGGACCACCTCAAAGGCTGTGATGGAGGGGCATCCTTTCAACCAGCAAAGCGGCTGGGCATCTCAGGATTTGCTGCCTGTAGGCTGTAGGATCTTGAGAGTAGCGACATAATGTTGACAAAGAGAGGCTGGCACCAACCAAAAAAACACACCACCCATGAGCCACTGGCAAATATGGGAACACAAACTTTGGTGCTTCTTGATTGGTAGGTCCGCCTGGAGCGCTATATACTCTTCCCTCCCCGCAGCTTCGTGCTTTCCTCTAGCTGAGTGGCCGCAGTACTGGCCGTTATTGGTCCAGGCACAATTACAAGCCACAGCTCCTGGCCGTTCCGGTATGAATCAGCATGGGGAGCGGGACTCCTCAACATCCATGCTTCACAAACTCAGGTGTTGGCAACATCTTCCGTATTGTCCAGCACGAGCGTCGTTCTTTCACGGGAAGTGCGTGGAATTCCGGTGTATAGCAAGGACAATTGGGCACTTCATCAGGAGCACTTCAACATCAGGAAATGTCACTCCATCCTAGCTGCCACATGGTGTGGTGGAAAATCCTTCTTCGGTCTTCAAACTGTGTGGGATCAGGATGCCCAGCGACACTGCGATGGATGGAGGGCAAAAGGGTCGCCTGAGCAACTGCGAAAGTCGATCAGGTCGCCAAGGAATCGTCCTTGCCAGGCTTTGCATCTAAAATATGGTGTGTGTCATTTAATAGGGAGACTCCCAACCAATGGGCCACCAATGGGTAGACTGGTCGATGTTTCTTCCACAATTTTAATACACACCCATATGTCAGGACGCGTGGCGTCTTTCTGAGGCATCCTGCGGATTTCTTACTGCCGTCCTTGCCAGGCGGAAAGAGACAGCAGGACCGCGAGGCGGAGCGCCATGTTCTGCGGCCTTGGGACACTTGGGACTCGGGCTTTTGGTCAAATCAAGGTGTTTTCAATGAGACGATCCGACGAGGATTTGAGATGCAAAGTTCAGGCAAAACTAGTTCACACTTCAGAGGCCTGCGGCCTGGAAGCCGCCCCATCGCGGAGCCCAGGAGTTGTGAACTGGCTCTTCTGCACCCCCAAGTCCCGGATGATGAGGGTGTGGATGATCCCCACTGGTGAACAGGGCCGTGAACGCCACGATTCGACCGGGCTGGGTTTCAGGTTTCTCGAGTCCAAAAAGCGCATCGCACCCGAGTCGCAGCGCACCATGTCTTTCAACAAGACGTGCGAATTGGCACGCCCCACTTTAGATAGGTCAAATGATGTCAAATGTCCAAAAGCCTATCCCTTCAAAACGCTTATAGCAAGAAAGCACAGCCCATTGCACCGCTCTTGCAATTGATTTGGCCACCTCTTTGCAATCACAGCTGCATTTCTTCCTAGAAGTTCCTCAGAAAGAACCTAAACTCTACACCGTTCCCTGTCAGATCCACTCCACCGTGTCGCGCTCGTGTGGACTTCGGGGAGAAGGCGCCGCGGTGTTTCCGAGCAAAAGCTGCGTGGCCGGGGCTGTGGCATCCGATGGTGTTTTCGTTGGAGCCCAGTCCCCGTTCCACCCGAGAAAACGGACCACCTCCGGCATCGGACGCCGGGCGATTTGCGCGGCGAAGCATGGACTTTGGACATCTGAAGATCTGTCCGTATGAGCTGAATCGACTTCTTGGTCGGCCTTGGGACCAAACCGTTTTAGAGTGAAAGTCTCATGAACTTACCCAACCCCTTCCCAGGCCGCCTGGAGGCCCCTCCCAAAGCTTCTGGGATTCCCTTCCCGAACTGCCAGCATCATCGCCCCATTCGCCTCATCGGGCCACCAGGCATCCCACTTCGGCGCTGCCCTCCCGCGGTGGAGCGAAGGCAGTGAAACGGTGTGGGGGGAGGTCTTCGGTGCTTTTCCGAGGGGCGCTTCTCGCGTTAAGCGTTGGTTTCAAGCAATGGTCACTTGAAACTGAAGGGAGAACACATTCATGTGTTGAATACGTAGCACACCACGACCGGTTTGTCGCACAGCCCGTACCGGGTCCGTCGCAACAAACAGGGGCAGTGCAGGACGAGGCGGGGAAAACATACATGAACCATGACCCAGGATGGAGGTGCGACTAGACTTGGGCATAGACAAGGCGGGCACCTAACACCATGCTTTTTTTTGCTGAATGTTTGGCTAAGTTGGGTAAAGCTGGACTCTTGGCACTCGTATCGGTTGCAGCTTTCTGCATAACCCGTAGGAATTCTCAAAGGACCGTTCCCCAAAAGAACATTTCAAATTGTTCCTTCATCATGTTCATCGTTCGACCAGTCACGCGCAGACCATGACTGTTGTCTCGCACGAAGCGTTACGCTTCTCGCGGCACTTTGGCACGCTGAGTTGCTCGCGCACCACGAGGCACCTGGAAACCACCACTCTCACAGCATTGGAAAAACCTCTCCAATCACTAGGAAAGAAGGACTTGACCCTTCTTCACACACTCAAGCCTCTAACTTCAGCTCAAAAACACACAGCCTTCGGTTCTTTGTGGACCGACGGGTGAAAGACCTGTTGATACCCCAGTTCATCACAACTAATGGCCATCTCCATGGCCGCCGTGGCTCTCATGAGCTTCATGTCCATCTCCATGGCCTCCACAGCACTCACCCTTGCCCTCATGACTGTGCCCATGGCCCTGATGAGCGCCATGACTGGGACCATGGGCGTCATGACTGTGCCCACCATCACTGCCATGAGCCTGGTGGCTGTGCCCACCAGCGCTGGTTCCATGTCCGCTCTCATCTTCATGTCCACCTCCGCCTCCACAGCACTCACCTGTGCTGTGGCCATGCCCACGGTCGTCCGCTCCACCGTGCGAGTGGCCGTGGCTGTCACTAGCCAATGCCTGGTGGACGTCGTCCTCACGGTAGGGCGAAAGACATGAACCCCTCCTCGGTTTTGCCTGGAAAATAACGGTTCGATCACCGTTTTTCCCCATCTGTTCTTTGCCAGTGGGAAAATCCAATTCCAAACAAAACGCTTCTTAAAGGATGTTCAAGGTTATCCACTGTTCGGTGGGAGGGAGTTCTTCAAGCGTCGACCACCGAACCCCCGAGCCATTGACCTCATATGCCTGTGTCTCAAACTCACTGGCCGAAATGTGTGGATGGAGAGTAGATGGGACAATCCCCCAAAGGCGGTGGTTTACATCGATCCTCGTCTGAAACACATGTGGAGGGTTAACTGCTGCAGTTGGTTCCATGCGCAATCTATGTCTACCTGCTCTTCGCAGTCCGCAATGGAAGCTCCTACTGGCGACTGCTTCTTGCTAGGAGGAGATCATTACCTTCCTCAACCAAGCTTGAAGAGTAGGTCGCAATGCCAGTAATTAGAGGCCTAAGCGGCCTAACTGCGTGTCAAGGTTGGATCAGTTCACTTATCATGCTACTTTGATGCTACTTTGAGGCAAGCACCACGTGCAGGCAAGCCCCGGGACTTCGTCGGCATCTCGGTCGGTGGGTCGGACGACCGAGCGAGCTACGGCGCCCTCCTTGGTGATGTCCTCAAAGGGCTTGAGGATCTTGTAGACGCCTGGTGACGCGAGGTCTGGTGAAGCACTTGGGACATCACGAGATCTGGCGCTTGAACCGCACCGAAACACGTCGACGTTCGCCTCGCAAAAAACACATCAAAACACACACCGGAAGCGAAATCCTACTCGGCATCGAGTACGGAGTGAATTCCTGAAGTCCTGGGGAACAAGTCGGTGGGTTTGCTGAAAGAATGTGTATTGATAGTATAGAAGAGTCCTCACGGGGGCATGCCTGGCTTTTCATGGCCCGCTTTTGAAGTCAGTTGACTCCTTCTACTTGGTGGAATGGGCTTCGTCAAGCACAATGACCCTACAAGCTGAAAACTTTCCATCTTCTCATTTTGGAGCTTTCCAGAAAAGCATGGAACATATCTTAGAGTAACTATATATAGTTCCTCACTTCTTAGTCACTTCTTCTCGACCCTTTGCGTCTTCTCTCTCCCCCCCTTTTTCACCACGGCCCAATCCGCTCAGCTCGCGCCGCTCGTTTTGGCCCTGGCACCTGCGCCGGGACGGGGCATTTTGACGCTGAGGTCCGTGAGGACGGTCTCCACGGGTGGGCAGCCCTCCTCAGGGCAGCGCACCTGCGGACGGAGAAGCGGCGGACTGGACACCAGGCGTTGGCCGGATGGTTGTGGACTGGGGAGAGATCTCATTGTGAAACATGGAGCGGAAGTGTGAGGGAGGTGTACATATGTTGCAGCATGGGCCCTCCCTGTCCTTGTATATCTTGGAGTTCTTGCAGGCACCTGCAAGAAACGACACTTCCCCATGTAGGATTCTGCGCTTCTTCTCATCTGGACTGGTAGACCATTCTTGGGGACGAACCAATTCTTTGCTGATATTTTTTCTCATGGCGTCGAAAACCCGGGGCATCCGTCAAGACATCACCCACTTCCCCTCTCCGCTTCCCCGTGGCCTGCGAAATGGACCAGGTGGTCTCCTCCGGCGTCGCCGGGAGGATGCCCAGTTGGACGAACGGGACATGGCTACGGCCGGTTTGCCGCCTGAAGGCGTGCACTATAACTGGTTCAATACCCATGGTGTCATACCATGGTCTGACCGTCAGTCGAGGAGTTGGATATGTATATTATATATATATACCCGACTGATGGGACTGCCATAGGACTGCCGATCCATTGACCCCTCTGGCACCACCCCAATTGATCGGCAGTCCTATGGCAGTCCCATTAGTCGTGTCTGGGATAGGCAATTATAGATCATGGAGTTCCTTAGTTCTATTCCAAAGTGTGCTTTCTTCAAAGGTGGAACTGTTGTGTGAGACTTCGTGCGGCACGTATCCGTAGACTTTTTCTTGTGTCTTTATCAAGTGTTCCTCTCCCCAAATGACTTGCCACCGTTTTCTTTCGAACAGGGGCACTCCAGGTACAGCCATGAGGGCACTATCCATGCGCCACTGGTTCCTGGTGGGTCAGACCGTAGTACTCCATACATCTCCAGACCGGTTAGACCGTGAAAAGCACGAAACGCAACAAACGCAACGTACAATTTGGAAGCTTGTGGTACGGCATAACATCAAGGATTCGCTGGTCAAACATCTAGTGACCCAGTGCCTGAAAGATGCTTCCGTTTCCTTGAGAAAGGCATCTCCATGCAACCGGTGAAGGATGGAACTGAACTCCCAGGCTGGAATTCTGTGGGTGGGTCCCCAAAGATTCACCATTACCAGTGTATCACAATATGATATACATATATATATATAATAATCTATGATATAAGTTGCAATCTCTAACGCTATCGGGAGCAGGTCAGGAATCGGCAAGACCGGAATCTCAGCTAGCACCGGTATCGGGGCATCATCCCACCCATGAATCTCGCGCCGGATTTTCCCCCCCTCTCCTTCCCCATGGCTGCATAAATCTGGTCGGCCCATTCCTGGGAGACAGTCTGGAGCCATATTTTCGCTCAGTTCATTTGGTATCACAAGTTCCTGGGTGGTTGGTTACAGTAAATTTAAATTTAGGATTGAATATGATTCGAATCTTGTGTTGATGTGCAGAAGATCTGATGCAAACTGACCGTAGTCGCTCTGCAAAGAGACCCAGGAACTGCTGTCGTGTGACGTGTTAATAGGGAAAGGTCGTTCCAGTGTTGTCTAAAGGATCGGAATGAGTTGTTACACATGGAAGTGGGTTCCACCCACAGACTGTTTGTAAATGAGGAGGGGTTTTGACCCGGATCCCCAACAATAGGTTGACCGTTACGTCGGTAGGTCAACCGTACGTCTCAGGTTCTTGGCCACGAGTCCGGAGACCGGAACAGCCAAGCCACCCAGAAACCAAGATCCTCCGGAAATGACAGCAGAACCAATTCCAGCAAATTCATCATTATTCATCCCCCCAAAATGCTTGTGTTCGAAACTCTTGGATCTCAGGATGTGTTCGGTTCCTCAGGTCCTCAAACCACCCAACCCGACTCCGTCACTCGGTCCCTGCGGCTCGAGGCTCTTCGATCTGTTCGGAATCCACCATCGGCGGAATCAGTGAAAACACAGCGACCCAACCGGAACCTCCGGCACGTCGTGGTGTTCATCATGCGCGTTTGCTGGTTGTTTTAGCTTCAGCACGAGTCTGGGTGTTTGAAAACCATTTTCAGCCAATGTTGCTCGCTTGAAGCAACGCGCCTGCTTGAAGCAAACAGCAACGCAGCATGCACCGGACTCCGAACTTCGAACATCGCTCAGACGGGGCGTCAAACCAAGGCTTCCGTCGGCTTTCAAGGCTTCCAGGGCCTGCGAAAAGCCAAGTCCTGGTGGATGACCAGCCACTGATTGCAGTCTCGAGATTGCCCCCATTCCCCCCAGACCTGTGTGGAAGCATCGACGCAAAGACTCACAGGATCTCATGGGCGGTCCGGCGATTTGTCCAAGACGAACGCGTACGAAGCTCGTGCGACTTCGGTACGAAGCTCGTTGCTGTGGTGGTCGCCTGCGGCGGTGCGCACGCTGCGAGGTCCGGACTGGACTCCCCGTTCGGCCTGGCACGCGGCGCATAGGGCTCAAAGCGACCTCGGTTTTGAGCCGCTGGCGGTCGGCTCAGCTGTCGCGGAGCGACCGTTCGGAGCGAGCGGTGGATGGTTGGAGAAGGGTGACAGGGATTGTCAGGTAGTTTGATCAGTTGGTAGAGGAAGCCAAGAAGGACAAACAACTCGCCATTGTCCCAGGTCGGAAAATCCATGATATTCCGGGACTGGTCGAAGGGAATGCACATTCTTCAGGGCTTAAGGACCTGCATGGTTTTCTTCTCTGGAACATGCATGCAAGCATGCAAGCGCCCCGCAAACAGAGTAAATTTTTGAAGAAGCAAGGTTGAATCATGGTTGATCATGTTGATAGCAAACCTGAATGCATTTTGGGAACACCTGACTGCCCACGATTCTGGGGGAACCCCCTTTATATCGTTTTCCCCAATTATGCTGGAAGACTTGTGAAGACTTCGAGGCTCGGATTGGAAGCAACGACTGAGCTTCTGACGCCGGGCCCGTAGAGAGCCACCCTGTGGGCCCGTCCAGGCCTTGGAAGTCACAAGACATTGGGATGGTGTAGTCACATGTAGCTAGATGATCTTAGATGTTAGAAGTGGTCTGGGAAAGTCTCAAGTTTAAGTATATATATATATATGATGCAGTCGTTTGTATAAGTGCATGAGACATGACATATCTTGCTTGTTCCGGTTTACCAGGATTCATACTGCAGCCATCCCTGTGTCACCGTCCTGTCCCAGCCTGGCTCCTTCCTGGTCGCTCGTTCCACGGCCTCGTCACCCTGATTCGGACCGCTAGCAAAGGCCAATAGCGTCCAAGGGCCAGTATTTCATATCATTTGTATATGGTATGGGCATGGTATGCATGGTGCAGTCTTTTGTCTTCCTGGCGTTTCACCAAAGAGGCTACCAGGGAGTTTCTGGGTTTCCGTCGAACTGCTTCTTTCATACACAGGCTCCATGTGCAGCTTCAGGAGATGAACACTTCCAGAACATGGGGGGTCTTTCATCATTTTCATCCGCAACACCCCGACCAAATGCTTGCACCTTGGCCGATTTTTTCGATTCATCCCGACCAGTCAAGCTCTAAGCCCCCTGCTTGGCAGCCACATGACCTCAGCGGTGGATAATATGACACCACATGTGAAGGGTGAAGGATCGTGCAATCTGATTCGGATGATGAGGACACATGTTGTACTGGCAAACTTGTCCCATCAAACCTTTTGGAAAGGGATTTGGATTGTGTGTCTCGTCCAAAGCTGAATGCTCCACGAAGTCTAGCTATCAAACTGGCTGTAATCATATGTAATTAATCATCATCTCCCAATGATAGCACATGACCAACAAAACGTGCTAATATATAACTTTTGGGAAACAATTGCCAACACTTGAGAATTCTATATCTGCGATTATCTGCGTAAATGAGACAGTGCTCGTTGCAAAGAAAGCAGGTGATTTGGGGGGCTTCTGTCCCGATTCTGCCACAGGAAGGCTAACTCATTTAGATATTGGCCGTCAGGATTTATTTTTGATTGCCTGATCGACTGGAAGCAAAAGCAGTCGCCACAAAGAGCGAAAGCAGTCGCCTCAAAGGATTCCTCAAAGGATGTGTGAACCGTCTTCGCTTCGTCGCCGAGTGTCACCGAGCGTGTCGCCCTTCGTCGCACCGACGTGGCGGGGCGGAGGTACAGAGCTCAGCAGAGCGAAGCGAGGGCGTCTCTACCGCACGAGTGGCGCCGAGTACGCGAGGTTTCCTGTCTTTGCAAAGTACCGGGACTTCAACATCCCCGGCTGTAGCTCCCAGAGGGGGCTGGCCACCCAAAATATTTTGGGTAGCCATTCCATTTTGACTACCAACCGGGGATCTTCAACGATCATTGATGAACTTTGGGAACTGCGCGGGGCCAATGCGGTCCATACCTTCGAATGCGCCATCGGGACCGGAAGGTCCCGGATGGTCCCAGGAAGGTCGGAAGGTCCAGTCTCCAGCGAAAGGGTGGGAGAAAGACTCCAGGATGAGACTCGCAAGAAGACCAGCCCAAGACTAACCCCCCAGAAGTGTCTCATTGGCAAAGTGGTACTATGTGTCCTGACCCTGGAGCACTGCCCCCGACTTGTTGTGTGGAATTGCATTATCAAGAATGTTGGACCTCAGTTTCCTGGCTACATGCGTGTCGCGCCGCGTCAGAGCGACCCTTTTCAACTGAGCATCTATCCACCTACGGCTGGTGCTGGATCAAACGCTGCGAACCTGATCTTCTGTCAACTTCTTTCAGTTGCTCTCCAATGAAGCACGGGGTCTCTGTCCTCCTCCCTTCTTTCTTCGCATTCTTTGGCAACAAAACGCGTGGAACCATCATTGTCCTCAAAACGGAGCAGGTTTCCACATCATCAAACCCTCCTGGAGGGCCAGAGTGTGTCGGGTCAAAGGCCATATAAAGTTCTGCGCGCAAACGAGGCTTCTTGTTGCAACGAAGCGCACGGTGGCCACAAGACGCGAATCGCCAAAGCCGAACAGCCAAGACCTGAGCTCAAAACCTCTGATGAACAGGGACATTGTTGATGGCTTTGCTGCATATTTCAATGAATATAATATACTTGCAGTATCCAGTTGTTTATTTAACCCACCCCTCAGAACTCTTGGTTCTAATCCGAAAGAATAAAAGTCGTTTCGGCCCATGGTGTCCATTGGCGAAATTGAACTCCCCCATGCTCCACTGGATCATGCAGGCGACGGCATGACGTCAGGGAGGCCAGAGAACGGATGAAACACTTGGAACAAAAACACATGTCTGGAGTCTGGTGATGACATGCTTCTTGCGTGTAGCTTTTTGGGATTGCAAGCTTTGCACCCATTTGTGTCAGTTTGCCTTTTCAATGTGGAGAGGAGAGGACTCTAAGGAAAATGTTCAAACAGTACAACTACGCTAAGTAAGGCACCAATGTGAGCCTGATAGCTGCTGATGAGGGCCAAGTTGTTCCAATATTGGTGAGTGTCACACACACACACATCAACAGACCTGAACACGGGAACTGTTCAAAACAGTACAGTGGCAAGGTGCGATTGTATATATATATATATATACCTGGAACCCAATTGACCTCTGTTTTGATAAGAACAAACATATTTTGGGTGGTTCGTGGTCCAAAATAGAGGTCATTCAGGTTCCAGGTATATATATATATATTGCTTCGTGTTGATCTTCCAAGAATTAAACATGATCACAAATGTTGGAGGGCCTGTAATCCGTCTGCAGAACATCGGACGAACAAGCGTCTAACCATGGCAACATGGTGGCAACTCCGTGGCACCTCGACCTGTTGCCACCATTGCAACTGTGGTTCAAGGATTGTACAACAAAGGCATATATACCTTGTCTGAAGCTTCCCCTCATTCTGCAAGAAACTGGCCACTGGAAACCTATACATCTTGAAGGAAGGGTTGCACGCGTACGGTGCAAACATTCCATGCTCATCCAAGTTCTACTTATTTGACTCGTCCTCATCGTCCTCCAGGCACCCTCAAATTTTGGTGTCAGGACACTAGATCTTTCCTCACACCCCTGCTACGCCAGCAGGCGATAACCCTTTGTTGAGAGCTCTTTGTAAGCTCCCCAGTTAAATGAGTTCAGGACCTCAGCAAAATGAACATGTAACATGGAAGATGCCGCACGCATGTGATTTGAGAAGCTGTATACGGCTGTTTCATCCAGCCGTTTCCTCTTGCTGGAGTCTTGTAGCTGTGCCAAGGGGGGGTTCTTTGGCGTGTTGCTCTTGGCACTTCAGCATGCCACGCAAACATCCAATTCGGGTCACGAGATCCACGGGCATGGATGCTGACTCGACAGCGATTTCAGCTGCCAGAGTTTCCAAATTGCGGGACAGAAAGGGCTGGGTCACCACAGACTTCACCTAAACTGGTGGCTTCTCCTTGCGGTGGGGCACACGGCCCATTGCGCGAGCCGCGGAATGGGACAGCATGGCCAAGTCATCAGGATCCAAAGGTCTGATCCTATCGATGGTTGGGGTTGCAACAAGCCACCCAAGGGTGTTTAAGGCACTTCAAGCGCCCCAACCGGCGAAAGAAACTCGAGTGCCACAGGAGCCAGGCTTGTGCAAACCATCTGTCACCAAGGTGAATTCCATGGCGACCTATCATTGGCGTTCGTAAGAGGATGCAAGAGGGCTCCTTCCCAAGAGTGCATAGGCTACTTCTCCCACTCCTGTCGACTCTCCAGCCCTTCCTGTCGAAAACGGCATCCCTTTCAAGCAGTCTCAGGCCCTTCAGGCGTGTCAGGCAAAGCCTCGGCCTGCTCAGAGACTAAGGAGAGCTTCGCGCTGGACATGCTGGAGACCCACGCCTCACGCGCGCGGGTAGCGCTTTGGAGCCCATGTCTGAGAGTGGCGCTGCCATGTCTGAGATACAAAAAGGGGTGTGACATGGTGTGACACACCCAACATGGTGTGTTGTTGATGTGGAATTTTAATCTTGTGGATAAGTTTGGATGATGCAGGATTGCTTGATTCTTCCCCATCATCTACTGTACCTCTAACAAGGTACTTGTCAGCTCGCCCTGCAAAAACACCAACATATTCAGTAATGCATGTACAGCACATGTTTCCAGCTTCTCCAGGACATGGTGAGTTTTCTGCTTGTTGATCCTCCGCACCTAGGGTTTGAAGGCTTTCATTTTAGATCTCGCTGACCCGAGTCCGGCATGATCCATGCCTCGCCTGAACAAACTCGATCGACTGCCTGCTATTTAAGCTTTTGGGGGGACACCTGGCCTGAGAAGAATACTACGATGAAGGGCTGGTCTGAGCAGGTACCTTCCGGAGCTTTTGAGCCTGGCCAGCCTTCTGGAGGTTTTGAGCGGAAGGGGGTGTTCAGCGGAGCCTAGAAGGAGGACCATTCGCAAAGTTTGGGAGTTTGGAGTGTCCTTCCAGCTCCTTACTGAACAAGAATGACTGTAAAGAACTACAACAGTCGAAGCGTCTCAACAGATCTGAGTTGAGGATTGCAACATCTCCGCTGAACGCATGCCCAGGTGGCACGGGATGCCCAGGACTCGACAGAAGGTGCAAGGACCTCCCAGGTTCCTTCAGCATGAATCATGAATGGCGAAGGAACTAGCCTGTCCACCGAAAGCACCGTCATCCACAAAAAAATGAGAAGTTTCACGCGTCGTCCGCTTTGGTTCCAGGGTTTATATATGTTGATGAACTCGGGCCATTGACACATATCACTGTCAAGGTGCACTTCACACCTTTTTACCCCGAACTCTCATCTTTGGTCCTTGCGACTGAGGAACCATCATGGGGATCCCACACTTGGCGAAGACATCGGCGATGGCATAGCCCGCGATCTGACCAGCGAGGGTGGGCATTGCGACACCCCAAATCAACCAACAAAAAGCGGCGGAGGCCTGGGGAAAAGGGTGTTCAATCTTATCTGTCTTCTGTTTACTTAGAAACTGTTTGGGGAGGCGGAGGCCTGGGCAGGGTGTTCAGAGTTCTCTCTTTACTTAGAAACTGTTTGGGAAATCGAAAAAAACGTGTGGACTGTTTCAGAGCCATGTCTTTTTCAGGTCCCGACCACGTCACTCTGACAGGTGGACTAAATGTCAGGAAGAGTGCGAGGGCAGAAGACCCCAAGATCCAGGCAGTTTGAAACCAGTCTTGAAGGCGCCACACAACTCCTGTAAGGAACATGGCGGATTTGCCAAGTCTTTGCACCCCCAACGGCCGAAAAAGGGTGGACAACGCCCACACGTGTTCTGCACCACTCTGAAACCGTCGACCCCACCCGCCTCGATCTCTTCCGGAAAGGTCTTGGTGCCTCGGCAGCGGAACCAGCCCGCTGAACGCTGACGCCGTAAACGGGGGCCGGTGCTGCGGCGGAACGGAACTGGACGTGTGGTGGGGAAGAAGCCGTAGGGGTGACCGAACGGGGAAGGTGCCGTACATACCTTGGTCAACAGGAAACGGGGGCCGAATCTCCGAACTTCATGCATCATAGAGCCGGATCACCACTTAGAAACTATGCCTGGACTATTGCTGTGGAGAATCACGTGACAGAATCTGAAGCGTAAGAGTCAGACTATGGGCCAATTGCGATTAAGCGAACGACCACTTAGACATTGATGTCAATAACAAATATGAAGAACCGGTCGCGAATTCGTCATGGCAAAGGAGAAATCATTCCAAAGCTGGTCCCACAGTGGCAAGCACACGTCAACGTCTGTGACCATATTCTGAACCGAAGAAACCAGCCCTAAGGATCAACCCAAAGGTCACGGAAATCATTCTCCCAACTTTGGTTCCTTCGAATGAACGTCCTTCGAACAACTTCCACTTCGATGACGTGCTATGGAAGAAGCCTGGGCGACGCCCAATACCCCAATCGCAAAAAGAGAAGTAAGAACTCCAATGGCTGAGACTGGACTTTTTTAAGCACTTCTCCTCACGCCCTCATTTCCTCATCCCGGCCCACACGCTTTGGGCGTGCAACCTGCAAGTCCCTGTTCGATCTTCGGTTTTCTTTTTGTGCCAAGGATCATTCGCACAACGCGAACATCACGGGGTACATGCACCAGATCTCCGCCTCAGTTCTCCATGGAGAGCGCAGTTCGGGTTTGACGAAGAAAAAAACGACGGTTGTTCGCACTGCCATGGGGTTGCTTTTGGATCCCAAAGGGCAAGTGTAAGCGAAGTGGGCATATTCTTGGAATTTCTGGAGTGCTATAATAATGCTTATATATACATCTTGACTTGGTCTATCCACCTCCAAGTTCGCCAATACACAGGAGTTGAAACTGCTCAGTAGTTGAAGGGGAACAACATGGCAACTGCGCCACGGTCTTTCCAATCCTCAATTGAATATGCGAGAATCAACCAAATACATGGGACAAATGGTCCGTCCCCCCCCGTCAAAATAAACTGTCAAGGAAACGTGCTTATATAAGTCCCTCCCAACAAACGAGTGAATGTTCAGGTCCATCTGTTGTAAGTGGTGGTCCATTTTTGATTTCTGAACAACTTGTGCGGAACTTTTCTAGCTGGGACTGTGGCAGCAGGTTGAGGTGCCCTGGCCCAGAGTTCGGTAGGATGGGTCGGTAGCAGTTGCGTAAGCCCAAATGCCAACACAAGCCATCCAAGAGGAAATAGCCTCAGGATTGAGTAGAAATGAATAGACGTTTTCCTGATGCCCTACATGCAGGATGCATAAACATACAGCTACATATAGATTCATCATCTCGTTGTTGTTTGGTTGGTCTGGTCTGTTGTTGCGCTGGTGATTTCCATCACTTGCTTTCCCTGGCACCAGTCATATTCTCCCACTCTCGCCCCAAACATTGTTTCTGTCTTTATATATATATTTTTTTTTTTTAAAGAAAATAATCTAGGGAACATCTGACTGATTCAAAGACATCTCGTTTGCATGCCACGGAGCGGTTCGATTGGCCACGAAGTTGAATAGAATCTGTGCTTCACCTCCTGCGAGGCAAAGAATTTCGAGACAAACATGGATGGCATGGGAACATCAAGGCGAAAAGAGAGGCATATGGCCAAGCCATGGCCAAACCATACCCAAACCCAACAAACATACCCAGCTGATCCCAGCTGTTTGTCTTTTTGACACCTGAGCTTGTTTGAATCCATGCACTGGACCATGTTATTCATGGCATATCAGTGATATCAGCGTACGTATCACCAAACAGTTCGACATACAACCCACCAAGAGCAACCTAGTCAAAGTCACAACTACTAAAATAACATATCACACGCGCCTGGGAAAGCTGGAGGATCCCTTGTTTTAGTTGTCATTTGCTCTGTCATGCTCTGTCCATTCGCCCTGTCCGCGCTTTTGCCGACTCTTTTGGCTTCTTCGTTTCGAGAAAATGCCCTCCTCCCACCTTTCTGGTCACCTCTAATGGTCACCCGCACCTTTCGAAAAAAGGCGACAGATCGAGCGACCGGAGATTTGCAAGATGCAACTCCCAACCGCGCCGGGAACCGCGCCTAGCGCATTGGCCTGCTTCTGAAGGGAGGTAAAAAGCTTGGTGCCCACCACCGAGAAGCACAGCAGCCCGGCCATAAAGAGGGGCCATTTTCCTGCCCACTCAGCCCTTCAAACACAAAGATAGACCAGGCATGTCTGACTATTATATAAAGGCAAAAAAACTCTTCAAGGTTGATCCATTCTGGCTTATTGTGAGGGGGTTCAGCATGAATTTCAAGTCCAACAACCTATCTGCTGCTCCTTTCGAGCCAACTTTTACCCTCGATCGCCAGCTCTGCGCATGGCGTAGGCAAACCGTGCACGTTTTCTTCACGAGGACGTCCCCCCAAGAACGCTTCCCGCAGGAACAGGTCGAACGAAAAGGCCTTAAATCTGTTGAAGTGTCCAAAGATTGCATTTCTTCACTGAGTCTCGTTGCCGCTTGACATGAAACATCGTGAAACTATCATTGCATGCTGTGGCCACGCTTGCAATGCATGCAATGCATGTTGGGTGCCGCGTACGACGTTGGAGGCCAGCAAGGCTCTGAACAGATCGATTGGAGGTCGAAATCCGGGGGGCCCGGCCTTGGACAGAAAGGGAGGACATAATCCCAAAGGCCAACATGAACTCGTCAATGGCCTGAATAACCAAAGACTCTCAAAACGCCCGCCATGTCCTGAAAAACCTGTGAGAGACACTATGGGAACATCTGGGAACATATCGCAAGCAAAGAGATTACAAAGCGATGTGCAAGTCGTTTTTTTTCATGATCAATTCCATCTCGACGCACATTTCCATCTCAATTCCATTCCAAAAGGACTTAGGTCTTGACGCTGGCAGCCTGTTGCCCCATCTGATGTCGGGGGAACTCCGGTGAGACGGGCTTCGAGGATCCCCTGCCCTGCCACTCTAAACACAAACAACCAATTCCCTTAGTAACCCGATGGAACATAACACAAGCTGGACATGAGCAAAAACAGCATGAACAAAAACTGAAGGGTCATCTTTAAGTACTGAGTGCCACCACGTGCCAACCTAAACTTTGACCACTCCCCCCCCCATGTCCCGCCCGACGGTTGTCTGGTGCGAACAGCAGTGCGAGCGCACGTGCGAGCGGCAATCAAGGTCCAGGTCTGTGCACGGTGGGCGTTCGCCAGAATGCCCAGCTCGATGAGCATCAAGGGCGTGGTGAGGGTCCAATCCACATAGCCTCAGGTCCACACCCGAGCGAGGTGAGCGAGGCCAGGTGGCCTCCGACCGGATCGGCGATCATATGATTAGCTGGGTTCTTGATCAGCTCATATTCTTTGATGCTATTGTATGCTATTATACCGGCGGACTGAAAAATAGAATGCCAATGTGTTGTGCTCTATGGCTTAGAATGCCTACGCTGATTTAAACATATTTTAACACTTAGAATGCCTGCATTCTATCTTTCTGTCCGGCTGTGGTCATAATGCACTTATATGTGCTCAGAAGAACTCGCCTTTTCAACAAAACTTTTTCAACGCCTCATGCAGAGTTTGCTGCACATGGCTGCCCTTTAATTGTTGCATTCTAAGTATCGTTCCGTAATGATACCCGCGTACCCAGAGCAGGCATTCTATCTGTCAGTCCGGCGGTATATATGCTATTGGTGTGCTTCATTCTCACACGGGAGCCAGCAAGTTGGGTTCGGGACGCTGAGGGAAGGGCCCGGCCGCTTCCTCCATGGATCCCATGGTGTCATACCATGGTCTGACCGTGACCGTCAGTCGAGGAGTTGGATATGTATATATATATATATATCCCCCAAACACTCCATGTATGGCATATATACCTACATTGAACCCCCAAAACCACCCCAATGTAGGCATATATTCCATACATGGAGTGTCTGGGTATATATATATAAATATATATATATATGTATGTTTTCCTCTGGGAACATGGATGCGTTTCTGGGAACATGGACAGAAGACCCGTTGCTTCAGGGGGCAAAACTCTTAACTCACAGTTTACTTTCCGAGTGAGCCGCAGAACAATCAGTAAGCCTTGTTCGAGCCTATAATGCTCAAATACGTAATTGCTTGTCCATCGCGTACTCTGAGGTTGACATGCTTTCAACCCGGTGGAATCTGGCGACCGGGGTCTTGCCACCGGCGTGGTGCACATGCAAAGGAACACACAACCGATTTCGCAGGGTTGGGAACATGTCTGTTCCGAACTTTTAAGTTGTTTTGTTGGGAATGGTGAGCCTTACTGTAAGCTTGTGAAGAGTCCCCAACAAACGTTCAAACCATGAAGGAGGGATTCAATGACCAGCACACCAAACACATCCAAAAACAAACGGAACATCATCCCCCTTACGCCGTAAACGCAAAACAATAGGTCTTTGAGTCTGAGTCCTCACGTCTGACGTATGTCGTCCGAGAAGCGAATCCAGTAAACCCGAGAGCCATCTGCCTCCTGTGGATCCAGTAGCTGATGGTGGCTGGGTGGGAAGGCGTTCTTCGGTCCCTGAATGCCCTTCCCAGGGAGCTACCCTGCCGCAGGGAGCTACGACCTATCACCAAACCCATGTGTCCATGTCGGCAGTCATGTCACCTTCCACGTCCGGAGGTGTATATTGCTTTTTTCTTACCTGGGTTCATCCTAGTGAAACTGTGCGATTGTGCCAAGATTATGTTTTTGCAGCCTTTCGCTTTGATTTCTGCTTTGTGGACACATTTTGGGAGGTCCGACGCGCGGACACATGGTAGACCTTTGTTGCTCGAGGAATCGAGGAAATGCAAACGCTACACTCGTCGCTGGTCAACAACAACAACAACAACAACAACAACCCTTTAAGTGGACAAATGCAATTTTTGGTGCAAGGTCATGACCATTTTGGGGGATTTATGACACCTGCAGCGTCGCGTTTATTTGTCATCAGCTTCTCTTCCTTCGTTCCCCGTTTTTCGGTTTCAACTAAGACTAGTCATGACTAGTCACTATACCATACGAATCTGGGCCCTCAGTCACAGCTTTTGAACTTTCCGGTGGGTCAGGTCCGACTCAAACCATGGAAAAAAATTCGATTCTCAAACGGGCATGAACTTCGTGTTGTGCTTGATTCTCCTGCCCTCAGTTCGTCGAACATACGGGTCGGTTTTCACAGAGACCGAGGCCGACGGCTGACACCGCGACCGACCACCGACGGGACGACCTCTTTGATGCCGATCCCCAAGGCCATGCAGAGATATGCCACGCCCGCGATCCCAGTGACCTTGAGATCGCCACGGTGGTTGGTTCCGTGGAGACCGTGAGCTCCCAAACCGGGATCCGGTTCCGGACTGCCAGTGGAGGAAAAGATAGGAAAAGGTATTTGATATCCAAAGAGCCAACCCTCCTCCGAAGAAAAGAACCATATGCTTGGCTTGGGGATGTAGTATATGATATATAGTTGGCGGTACCTTCCAAGAAGCCCACCGTTTTAGATGGGTTGTAGTCTTCGCCCGAGAAGCTTCATGCTGCCCGAGAAGCTTCTGAGGAGCCAGTGGGTGCCGTGCCGGAATTCCGTTCGAGTATTTTGACTTTCTCAATTTCTTGTTACTAGTAGTAAGAATGCTCCTAGTAGCAATGCCAGGAGCCCCTAGTAGTGTCCTTGCTCCTAGTAATAAGGCCAGGAGCCCCTAGTAGCGACTCTTGCTCCTTGAGCTAGGTCTGGTTCGACGACACTTGGGACGCACGTGAAAAACATAGAAAAAGGGCTGTCTGACAAGCAGAGTCCTCCGGAAGTGGGTGTGGCAAACTGCTTTAACTGAAGGGTACTACAGTTAATACAATGTTGGACATGACTCACCAGGTTTGCTGGAAAATAGTAGTCTTGTGGTTGCTTGTTTCAGTGAAGTCGTCCTTCTCTCCACCATTGGCCAAATTTTCGGGCGCACAAAGACCACGTAAGCAACATGTTAACTTGGCTTTTGCCTCAAATGTTGGCCAAAGAACCTCCCTTTAGCCCAAATAGTCACAACATGTCACAAGCAGGATGGTCAAACCATGTCCAACCTCAGATACATCTTTTGACAGCTCCAATGGCCTTGGTCCCGGTTTCGTCCTGTCCCCCATATCATGGCTGTTCAAGTTCTAGGTAGATGACATTCCTGATCGAAACTATGCCACACGTACACACACTCCCTCCCCAAAATGAACGTTAGGCTTTGGGCAACGACTGTCTGGAGGGGACCGCGGTAGTGTGGTTGGGAACTGTCTACTGAACCGTGCTGCCTCCATCTGAACCTTCGTCCGAAACATCTCCAAGGTCCTCACCTCATCGGATCCCAGAAATTCGGACTCCAGAAATTCAAGGCCTCCGACTCCATCCAGCTCCAAATCCGAGAAGCCAGAAGCGCGATCTTGTGAAAGTTCGTGGTGACCGGAGTGCTTTTCTTGGCCTCTTCGTGGCCGGATCTGGTGCCCCGGTCGATTTGGGCCAGTCCGGTCGGGCGAGGCCAAGCCTTTTAGGTGGTGGAACACTTGATCCTTTGTATGCCCCCAAAAGACACACTCAACCATCCTTTTGGAGGGTGGGGGCCACTTGAAGTACTTAATATGTTCCTCGTTTTGATGTGGGGCCGGGGGACTTTGCTTTCGGGTTACGGTTGCTATTCCAGCTGGTTCACAAGTTCGATACATTTTCGATGCAAGAGCCATCCCCAGCTCCACCTATATAAGTAGTCCGGATGTGACACACAGGGTTTAAAAAAAACACACAATTTAACAAACAACAAAAACATATAATATATAACATTCTACACCCTACACTTGGTCCAACATTGGTCAAGCAGTGTGTCTCGCAGCACATCCGCTCTTTTGGGGTAGCACATCCTCGCCCATTCATGCTGAACAACTGACATCACTGACCAGTATTGACAACTCTTAGGAGCTGTGGGTCTAAGCACCTCGCAACTGCTGGCACAGCTAAGCATAGCTAAGCAACGAAGCTCATCATGAACAGGCTCACGAAGGAGAGGGCCATGAAGGCACATGTCAGCGACAAAACCTGCAATCCAGGGGCCGATCAAACTCCCACAAGGCTTTTGGGACAACTGTAGTGGTTGATCCAGTGCCGCCTCCTGAATGGCAAAGGCATGCAAAGGCCGTTTTAAGGTCCAAAGCAGGACTAATTTTGCAAGTAGTGCAACATTCCAAAGCATGCAACAATGGTGTTTCTTTCCCGAACGGGTTCCTGTCTTTGCAGGTCGCTTGACCTACCTACAGGTGTCTCACAGCAGTGCGAAGTTGGAGCTAGGAGACACCATTCTTGGACAGGAACAGCGAACGAACAAACTCAGGTATCTTCACCATACAGCACCTTGGTTCTTAGAAGCGGTTGCTTGCCGGACATGATTCCCAACAAGCATGCCGGACATCCTAGACCAAAGCATGCTTTCCCGACCAGTTGGTGCATGCCACGACCTCTACGACATCTTGACGCTGTTCGTCTCGTGGACGAGTCTGAAAATCATTTTGATCCCACACTGGTCGCCCACTCGTGCGACCAAGAAGCTGCTTGGCTCAAGGGTGGGACCACCATGGCGCGGCAAACCGCGAGCCAAGCGGTGTTCGGGGCGGGATGAGCCAAAGCTTGTCCCAAAGAGAAACATCCTGAGTCCCGGTAGGGTCAGGCCGGCTCGTTGGATCAAACCATGAAATCCCAATGGCAATCTGACTGCTGACCATGGCTCTGACCTGGCCTGACTGGTGTTTTCCAACCACCTCGCAAAATACATGCGTATAGGCGTTGATTCTGGCAATCCCTTCCACTAATTAAAAATACGGGTTGCCCCCTTTTTGTCACGAGGGGTCCCCCAAATCGGGGCTATCCAAAAGAGGATGTATTTACACTCCCTGGAACTAACATGGAAGTGGAGAATGGCCCCGAAAGGAAGACCATGAAATCCACTACAAACAGGTGGTGAACTCCACTTCCATGTTAGTTCCAGCAGGGAGAGTATGCATTTAGGAACCAGGGGTTTCGGTCACTAGGGCGAAGAAGGTTTGGCAGTCCAAGTGTTGGGCGGACACACCAACCCAGGAGAGTGGACAGGTTCGCTTCGGCAGTCCGGTACGACGCTCCTCTAAGCCCCCTTCAATAGTTATAGCCAACGAATGGATTACCGATAGATAGGATCCAAAGGGCCACACACACAGTTCATAAGTTTCTGAGAGGCAGCCAGCCAGTCAGAGCCCAGCACCAAGCAGCACAGCAGGGTTAATTACATATATATATATGTATGTATGTATGTTATATAAATATAATATATATACAAATGTATTATGTGTAGCCGTGGCATGTTGGTAGGACTGGGGCAAGTGGATATCAATCTGCCTTGTCTTGTCTTGTCTTGTCTTGTCTGTCCGCGGAGTCGAGACTCGTGCCGGGGCCCCGCACATGGTTGAAGTGCGGGGCCCATAAAGACATGTGTGGACATAGAAAATCACGGCAAGTTCAACAAAAACTGATGCAAAAACAACAGCGGTGGGCCATGGAGCTTGCAACAACAGCTGGAAAAGGAATCAACGCCGACCCAGCGATCAAGTGGGGGTTCGATGGGGGTGCTCCGTGAAAAGAGGTCCCGTTTCTGCAGTGCCTATTTTAACCTACAGTAGTTGCCGGAGAAGAGGATTGGGTGGCGCAGCGCCAGACTTGACCTCACCTCCATCCCTGACAACAATTTAATTCAAAACTTCAGCAATCAATCTACCTAGACAAACAAACAGCCAAACAGTCCCGTAGACGGCCGAAACGAGAGAGGAAAAGACTGCCAGGGTGGACAGCCAGCATCGTTCAGGGTCGTTCAGGAACCTAATCAAAAATAACACCACCAAAATCACCCATGTTAGTAGTTTAGTAGTGGTTTAAAAAGGCGGCGGTAATTTAAAAGCAAACACGCTCACACACACACACACACACTTATATAAACGTATTTAGGGGTCTCCGAAATGAGTTTTGCTTAATTGGATATATATATATAGTGTCTTTGAAAAAGTACGTGAAAATCATTCACCCGATTTTGGACTGCTGGAGCTTCGTGGTTTCACCACATTTCAACTCTTTTTTAGCCTGGGATCACTCCAGGAGTTAGTCTTGAGGAGTGGTTTGCCGGTTTGCCTTTTCCGTGTTTTTCCAAACTTTGTCAACGCCATGGATCGGGGATGGACCAGGAGTGATCCGGCACCACATCCGATTTTTGGGTGGGGAGCACCAACAAGTCTCACCGGGGTGCGCCAGTCCCAGAAAAATGTGAACCCCGATCTGCGGTCAACTCACCATCATATCCTCTGAAGTTGAACACCTGAGCCTTGGCAAGGCTCATCTGAGGCCCCGGCCAGGCCATGGGAAGCGGCCCAAGGCGCACAAAAACCAGGTATAGGTTTAGGCGTTCACCGTGTCGCAGGTGTTATGCTGGGGATGGCCCTGCGGTAAACAGTAGTGTTTAGCATTGGGAAAAATACGAAGGACATCCAAGGACATCGTTTGGCCGAGCGGTTAGAGTTCAGGCTGGAGAGTGGTGTCCGGTCCGGGCTGCAAAGCGGTGCACATTGGCCTTTTACTGGCTAACAAAGCTCAGGTTCGAACAAAGCGTCAGAACACATATCAGAACAATGTTGGAACATATGTCAGGACGCATGTCGGAACACATGGAAGATTTAATAACAGAACAAGTACCATGACAGAACAATTGTCAAAACTCAAAACACATATCAGAACCGAAGCCGGGCCCTTTGCCTCGTTTCAGACCAAATGAACAAACGGCAGAACATCGTGTCAGTGCACATGTCGGGCAGCGCTTGTCTGGGTAGTCTATCAAAACATGTGCCCTGCATTCTTCCAAGTCGCCTCTTAGGATAGGGATCACTCCAAGCAAAACAATTCTGGCCGAAGTTATTCTTCCTTCAAACAGTCTTTTCATGTCCCTTTTCACTGCTGGTAGTGGGGCAACCACAATTACGACGTATGAGTTGGAACTTGTGACTTGAAACAAACAGCTCCCCAGTGCTGGCGAAGAATATCATCCCTTGTGACGCTCTGATCATGTTTGGTCAAACCGTAAGCCGACCAGCCGGAAGGCTGGCACACACCGGCTGGTTGGAGAGGGGAACATCAGCAGCTAGAAGTGGAGCAATTGGACTTGGTTTGCAACTCTCTTTTCTCGGTTTGCAAACCGCCTCGTGTTAGCAAGAACCTCCAATGAAGGCCTGAATCCCATGAATTTCATGAAACCTCCTTGCGTTAGTGTGAATCCCAATCCAATCAAAAGGCCTGGGCCCAGTGGTCCCTCTTTGCACCGATGGAAATGGCTACGTCCCATGCTACAACTCAAGGCCTGGATCAATCGCCAACGTCTGGTCGATTGGGAACCGGTGAAAGCCTGAAACAAACGAAAGGATCCAAAATTCATGCCCCAGGGTGAAGCTTTCGTCCGGAATTGAACCAGAAACCTCGGAAAAACCCTGCTAGCTGACGATCAATGAACATCCGAACGTCCAACAGTGATCTTCTCAAACCGACCATCAAAAAATGTCGATTCACCGAATCGGTACATCTGCTGAAACCGCCTTTTTCTCATCGGTATGAAGGTTTGGCGATAGAATCTGAACCATCGCGATTTTCCTCGCAAAAAATTGGTGACTTTCTATGCTGTCAGGCAGACCAACAAGTTCAAGCTGCAACAAATCGGTCTCGTAGCGGTTGACCCTGTTTCAAGTGGAGCACGAAGAGAGGCCAGTTGTGATTTGCCACCAAGAGAGAGGCCTGAACAGTACCAATCCATACTACGTTACATGATGGCACTATACTTTCTACTAAATAGGTTTGTATAGTGGGGTCCCCTACTCATGTGTACTGATGTACTGATAGGTTGTTGCTACACTAACTACCGTACTGTGCCCCAAAGGCATGTGCTTGATAGGGGCGACTTCATCGTCCACGACCAGTGCTGGGTCGGCCAAGGCGCTAAAAATCGACACCCAGCGATTTCGAATCGACGCATCTTGGTAGGAGGTCTTTGGGTGGTGATCATTGGTGAGAGGCCTTTGCACTAGGTTCCGATGAGTGGGGTGAAAAGCCTTAGCCTGAGACTTTGTGCTTTTGCCACCACAGCTTTGGCACTGTGAGACATTGTGCTTACGTGCCGGCCTTGCCTGAGCAACACACAAAGTCTGTAACATTAAAATCCTAGAACCAAACTCGGCACTCGCCTGATCTGCAGCTGATGCTCCATCTCACTGGGTATTGGGAACATGTATGAACATGCGCCAAACTGCTTTTTGGCAAAACCGTGATAGCATGTGATAGCTCATGGTAACGAGTTCCTGAGCACGTCGCCTGAAGCCAACTGTAAATGCGCGAGAAAAGCCAACAGCAAGTGAAAAGAACACCACACACAATCTGACGTTTGAGAAAGGAAATCTAAGCCAGCAAAGGCTTGCTTGCTGATGCTCTTTCTTTTCCGGGGAGACCAACCATCTAACAATCTAACCATCTAATAATCTAACATGAATTCGACACCTGAACTCTTCTGTGAAAGAAACAGGGTGACATTGGGCGTCATGGATGAGTTGATGCAAAAGAATTGGTCTCACAAGGGGGTGTTTCAAACCCATTCTTAACCCAAGCTGTTCAAGTGGCAGGGCACATGGATCAAAAGACTTTACCCAAAATGGGAGTTCCCAAACCATCTGCACTTAGTACAGCAGTTATAGAAAGCCAATCAGCGGATGTTGAGACCTGATTATGGCTTTTGGAACTAAACTCAACCAAATCATGGAGCAAGTTGCAGCTGCGCGACTTGCGCTTCAAGGGCCACAGGCCCTTGCAAGTAGTGCTAGGTAGACACGATGGATCGCATCATATTGCGTCCAGCCGTCCCACCCGGCTGATTTAAGAAACTGTAGAGCGCCCCTGCCATGGGCTGAAGGTTGAAGGAAAACAACAACGACTGGCGTGTTTAGGCATCGACTCTGAACTGCTCTTTGCACAAAGGGCAAGTCTGGCTCCCGGTGCGCAGCCACTTTGAGACGCATGTTTTATGAAACAGGTGGCCGCAGGGCAGCTTCACTATTTGGGAGCCTTCCTCCATCTCCTCCAAACAAATGGAACATTGGCCTGCACCGGTGGCGACCTCGACATCACTCAAGAGCGCACTCACTGCAATCCACCTCTTCCTCTCTCGATGTTGTTGACGCAATGCGACATATGTTGCTCTCTGCAACGGCGTCAACAATGAAGAGAGTGTCATCCTCCGCGGTCAAAGCAACACCGCTTACTCCCCCAAAAGGATGCACCGTGGTCCCTCAACAAGGGGACACCGAGCACCATTACCATGCTGGTGGGGCTGGGGCACCCCGTGCACTTCCAAACGGATGGCACCTCCGTGTTCCGCAGCTACCTGCCACGTGCACACCCGACTGGATACCTGGACCGTCCGGGACCGTCCGTCACCCGTTGATTCTGGTGAGGCTCCGCTGATCCAAGTGGTGTGGATCCGAGTCTGATTGTCAAGCCAAGTGTGAAGTTCAAACCCTGGAACTATCTGCGACCTTTTCCAATGTCTCCAAGTCCAGTTGCTGCTTACTGCAAGTAGTGTGGCGCTGTTGATCTAAATGTGCGCCTCCAGGTGGCTTCTTTCTCTCTCTCTCTCTCTCCCCCTCCCTCTCTCTCTCTCTCCCCCTCCCTCTCTCTCTTTCTCTCTCTCTCTCTCTCTCTCCCTCTCTAGCTTTCAAGCTTCCTGACCCCCGAGTGAACTCCAAAAACAGGTTGCTGCATCTCTGTTTCATCGGCTGGTGCTTTGGGAACACTAATCACAAAATCCGCACTATATATTTCACCCGTGAAAAGGACCATCCAACCGTCCAACACCTGAAGAGCCGAAGCTAAGCCAGCTGGCCACCTGAACCACGAAGAGCCGAGCATCTCCACCACGTTTGCTGAGCGCAACTCTTCCATCATCTCATCACTCGTTTCACGGCCGTTCACCGTCAAAATGGCATACGCTGGCCAAATGCGAAAGTGTGGGTCTGGGTGTTCTCTGTGCCATCGCGCTATGGAGGGAGAATCCTCTCACGAGGAGGTGGTACCAGTGTACAAAACAAAAAGGCACAAAGGACCCGAAAATGGACCCCCCTCACATATGCAAACTACACCACTTGTAAGGACCCAAAGGTCACGCGTAAGGACGGAGGGGATCTCGAGAAAACACTGGGTATACCATGATGTTCTACTGATTCCCTCAGTTTCACTGGAAAGTAGAGGTTAACCTTTTTTCCACCAGTTCTTTTAAACGTGGGGAAACCAGAATCCTCCCAAAAAGCGCTGCAGGATATTTTTTTGGATGCCCAAACGATCCCAAACGTACCAAATGCAATCGGAGCAGCTTGAAGCAGTGACTGGATGAACAAACCATCATCTGCCTTGCCTTACGTGTCCAAAGTCTTCAGAATTGAACAAGTCAAGTGGAAGATGCTGCCAAAACTGACTGATGCGACCAGTAGAGTCTGTAGAGAATGAGGGATGGCTGGCCCCCAACATGAAGTCATCTTCGGATTCTGCCATCTAAATTCTCTACCTTTTTTTTTACACCAGTCCTTCGACCAAGTCGCCAATCTCAAGACCCCACGATTCTGTGCTGGATTCACGCCACAGCATGACTTCTGTGCGTTTCTCAAGCACCAAACGCTGGTTGAAGAAAGCGGAGCAGTCCGGGAAGCACACCATGGCGCTTCAGGCCAAAACACGCGACCTACTTCCAGAATGTGTCTTCATCTTCCGTGGATATCTGCAGTTGCTTACCTGGTGCTGAACTTTCAGAGCAGCGTCGCAAGTCGAACACAGCAAGTCGAACACATCGAGCTAATCAAACTGACAGCCGAAAAGCCACACAACCATGATTCCCAAAGGCCACAGCCTGGCCACAGGTCCAGATTTCTGGTCATCAAAACCATGAGGAGTAAAATCATGAGGAGTTTCCTTGGTCCCCGTGTAGGGAGTCAAACCCTGTCAACTAGGGTAAAACCTCAAAGTATGCATACATAGAAGAAAACATATTATATACATATATTAATAGGTGTTAATTACGTGTATATTCAACTATGTACATAAATCTGCATAGGTGTATGCATATATACAAATTCATACGTACATATATATATATATATCATTATATATATATGTCATTATATATATATATTATATATCATATACACGCATCATTACAGCAAACCCGGATCTAACTCCGCTGTTCAATTGGTCCTGTTCATTTGGCTGGCGCCATCAATGTGGTTTCACTTGGTGCGTCTGTCCCAAAATGATGAGTGTTTCGTACTCGCGTCTCCCGTGCGGCGGCCCGTCTGTCCCAATCCATTCAAAGCACAGCGAGGCGCGACTGGTGCAGCTCCGCGACTCTGCGACTCGTTTTTTTGGGCGTGGCTTGCACGCAAGGTGCGGGTCTTTCTGAAACGGCTCGGCAGGGCTTTGGTCCAAAAATGATACAGGCCTCGACTGATGTAGATGTCAAAAGCAAACCCATGCAGATCCAAGGTGCAAGACTAAGAGATATACCCGCACATCTCGGAATTCGTTCGCTGTGACCGCCCTGCCAGGTTCGCGAAAATGGGCCCCGACCAAGGCCGTGGTTGGAAAGCCTGTTCGGTCCGAACGTGAAGGACCCGACCAGAGCCAGGCTACAAGTAGACGGTGCAGTGGATAGATCCTATTAGTCCGTCAGGGAAGGACAACGCGAGCGTAAGTAAAGCAAAGGTTCCTGGAAAAGTGTCTCAAATCAGGAGGGATAATCCATGATAATCCTATATGCTTCTGACAACCTCAAAGGTTTAGTCCCAAGATTGAGTTGAAGCATTGCACAACATGGACCATTCATTTAATCTATGTCCATATATATATATATATTCATGTTCATGCCGTTCTTGACTCATGTCAAGCACGTGTCACATCACTCGCAGATGTCAGGTCGCCTCCCCCCAAAGGAACACATGGAAGCCGGCGAGGACAAGTGCCGTACAAGGACATCTTGGGCAACGGTTGTGCCATAGTTTCTTTAACAAGCACGTCAGTCTTTCAGTCATCAGCATCAGTTAGGGGCATCCAGCATGTCTCACAAAAAGTGCTTGACATTCGGAGGAGCATTGTAGTCGTACCCCCTATTCCCTTATCAATCCTTATCATGTTACTGTAAATCAACATCTGTTTATAGCGTTTGCCGAGATGCACATCATGCCGAGATGCGGCATCCCACCACCACCTGTAAGGGGGTGGCCCTTCGCATGCTTGGACCTCGGACACCTCCAACCACAGTCAGGGCGAAGATTGCTGGCATAAACCGCTGCATGACATGGAAAATCGCATCAAGGGGTTCCACCATGTTCCATTCCGAAGGACCGTTGGGGTGATCCAACCCGACGGTTTTGGACCACGAAAGCGCCGCTCTTCGAAGCACATGGAGCCGCTGGTTCCCCCAATTTGGCCCATTGGATCGACGGCCGATTCCTCGGTGCATGGTGGGTGGAGCTCTCCCGAGTTCGGCCTCCGCGAACGAGCCGATCTGGGGGAGTGAAGGCATCCGGAGTGAAGGCACACCCGAGGTCCGAAAAAACCCCCGTTCTTGTGCTTGCTGAAACGATCCCCACCTTCCGCGCTGGAAAGGGGTGGTGTAGGGGGCAGGGCCGAGGCAGGGCCAATGGGCAGCATCGGACTGAACGAATAGCCACTGATCCCTACAGTGTCTCGCCGATCCCTGCCGCGAGGTTCTAGTGTTCATCTGCAGGTCAGGTGCCGAACAAATAGAGGAATATATACATCATTATACATCTGTTGGTACAACCTCTTCGGCCTTGTCGACTCGAAGCTTGTCGACTTCTTCAGTTGCAGGTCCTTCACCCACATTCTCTGGCGCTGTCGCAAACACCGATGGCATTCACAACGACGCACTTCGATCAGTTGGCATGCCGCAGCCCTGCACAGACCTGCGCAGCCCTCAGAGCTTGTACTGCACGCCCGTCAGCTTTTCTGACTTGGCCCACAGCTCCTGGAGAAGGGCGCCCAGGAAAAACAATAAACATACATGACCGTTGGCTAAAGGAGTATTGGATCCGTGCATGTCCGTATTTTTTCCAGTTGTACAAGCCCAATCAACTAATTACAAAAACTAGAGCACTCCAAGCTGTCAAAGTTTCTCTTTTTGACATCCATGTTCCATCAAAACCGACTACTATAAATGTCTGGTGAGGTGTGGATCCAACACAAACAAATGGCCCGTCTAGGGGTACCACCAAGGAAATTCATCTGACAGGCGTTGGAAAAGCACCTTGGGTGAACATAGCAACTGACCACGGTCTGACTGAAGCAGCATGGCTTAACTGAATCAATGGTGCTCTTGCCGATCAAAGAACTGATGCACCACCAAACTGCATCTCTAACTGCATGTGTTTGCAGTGGCCCCCAAACGAAAAGGCTACAACAAACACAGGTTGAACAAGCACCGCGAATCGATGTGAATCCCCTCCAAACACGTCTTGGACACCATTTTCCGTTTCTCTTTGAGGTTTCGGTTTCAAGCAAAACGCAGGATGATCCACGGTCCACCCCTAAAGCCCGCAAAAAAAAGGTCACTTTCTTCGGAGGATCCGGAGAAACACGTGTTAAACTCACCGGCGACACATAAAGGAAAGACACAATCATACACCCATCTCAAGTGTCTTGCTTCAACTTAGGGATCAACTCCAAGTGGTCGAAAACCAAAAACCACTCGGATCAGAATATACAACATCGTCTTGGATTTGTGAGATTGCTCTCAACCTTCCACACCAAGCCCTGTGCAACAGCACCGCATTTTCAGCTCTCACGCAGGGCATGTTGCAGGACCTCCCAGAGCCGCTCAGCACGTCCAGTGGAGGATGCAGTGAAGTTGAAGAGCTCCTCCTGTTCCTCGAGGCGAGCCATGCCAGGGCGATCGGATCGCTCGTGACCCTGTTCACTCGACCCGGTCACCACGTTCATGCCGCTCTACCCCGCTCGGTCGTGCTCCGGTGGGTCGGTTGGATGGCGCCTTTGTCGAACACCGTGGAGCTCCATGGACTGGAGTCTTCAAATGCGACTGATGCGATAAAGGGTCTGGATCCCCACCACCTCGAATACCATGCTGACTCACCTAGGGGTCATGCTACCAAAATGGTCAGTACAACAACAAGAGAAAGCTCTTTCACGTCACACGCGCCTCGAATCCCGCCAGCTGTAGCAGCTTTGCTGCCGCACGAGGCGCGGTGAAGATCTCCTGGTGGAACGGAGGGCCAGGCTATGCTGGGCTAGATGGATTTAGATGGATGCTCCGGAGATGCATGTAGATAGAAATCATATACACACACACATATACGAAAAATCTTTGTTTTTTAACATGCACACAAAAATAGTGTCAGGAACAACTCGGAAAGAATGGGAGGGTGAGTAAATGGCACCTCGGGACACTTTTTCAGCCCCATTTCAGGGGGGTAGATGGCACAAGGTTTTTGATGGGTAGTGATTTTGGGGAACGGGGCCACGAAAAAATAGATGGCACAAGGTTTTTTACACTCCCGTGGGGAGTAGGATGGGTGTGCGCTCAGAATTGATGGCGCAACCCATCCAGCCTTTTGATTTCCGGTTGATTCCTTCCCTATTTCCATTCGTGGCTATGGATTTCCTGTCGGTGCCTATTGATTTCCTGTTGAAGCCAGTTGATTTCCTGCTGATTCCTATTGGTTTCCTTGTGGCTCCTTTTGGTTTCCTTTTGGTTCCTTTTGATTTCCTTAGGATGCCTTTTGTTTCCCTCTCATCTCAAACCTAGGAACCTCTTCCAATCCCCGGGCATGGTCAGGCAAAAGTAGATGGCACAAGGTTTTTTGAGGTTGATGATTTAGCCCTCCCATGTCTGGAAAAAGTAGATGGCACAAGGAAAATGAGCTCTCACCGGTAGTGGCTTGCAGGTGCCCTACAAAGTTGATGGCACAACCGACAAAATCGGTTCCTACTATTTTTTTTGAGTATTCATACACATATGTAGCTTCTATATATATATATAAACAAATATATATGCTGTGTCTGAAGTCTTGGCCTCCTCTCTATTCTCCACATATTTAAACGTCTTGACCATAAGAGCTCCTGTGTGTCATGCGCGAATCGCGAACCACCTCTCTGCAGTAGCCCTTCTTTCCCAACCTGCACGGAGTACATGAGCGGCCCCTTTTCACGGCCTTCAATCCCCTCTGGCACTACAGGGCTTCTCTTCCTACCGGGCTTTCCCCGCTCTGGAGCTTGTCCCAGATCAGTTTCTTGTAGTAGGGCGGTGACATACCACACGCGTGGGCGATTGCCCTTATGGGCGAAAGTGCCACACGTGCAAATGCGCCAAAGGGTGTTTCTCCCACGGCCATAACACCGCTTGAAATATTTAGCCGGCATGTCGCCATCAATCACGATGCAGTGTACCTAGAACAGCAACTGGAGCGCGGTGATGCTGACTCTGGGTTTTCCTTCTTAGGTAACGAATACGTCAGCTGCTTCAAGTGCAGCAGCGTCAAGGTCTTTTCCGCCCATTCGGAGTGGCGCGACGAGCTGTCTTGCTAGGGGCTCCGACACCGTCGCTTGCGCTGGAGCCTCTTGGTCGGTCGCCTGGGCAGGCTCGCGCGGCCCAAAAAGTCGCGCTTGCCTCCACCGCCACAATTTTGCAGAAGTTTTGCTTGTCTTTCGCCTCTACAGCGGAACTTTGGCCAATTCTGTGCAACTCCGGGCCAGAGAGGTACACAGCGTCTGGCTCATTGGGCCACAAAACGGTAGGAGCGCCTGAGCGGACAGCAAAAAGTATTCTATATTCTATAGCTTCTATTCCACATAGCTCTCTTGTTTCTACCAACATGGCCGCTTCAACAATAATCTTCCGCAGAGCCGATCGGAAGCGAAGACAAACCGGTACCGAACCGTCAGGGTACGCACAATACCGAACCGATACCAAACCGAAGCATTCACGTAGGAACCGTGCCGCAACCGAACCGAACCCCCGAATGTGGAAAAAACACTTTTCGGGGCCTGAAAAGCGTTGTCCCACATGTGCCTTTCCTGTGGGATTTGGGCGCTGGCTTCTGTGAAGCCTCTGGGATCTTTGAGTGGTCGATCGGCTCGGTCATGAATGGTAAACAATCACTTCTGTGAACTCCTACAATGAATGCGGAAAAAACTTTTCGGGGCCCTGAAAAGTTTTTTCCACAAGTGCCTTGCTTGTGGGATATGGAGCTAAAGGAAAAACATCCGAATTGATGGTCATGGCCCTGGCCCTTGCCACAGGTCTGTGGTCACAAGAGCAATCGCATAATTAGCCTTCGCACGTGGCGTCTTGTTGCGACTCTCGGCGCCCCTGGAGTCTGACGGAAACATCTCCACAGTGGCATAAGCATTGATGCCCATGCTTGACCCCTGGTGGCCGAAAATCCAGCCAGGGTCTCAACCGGCTAGCTTGTGTCCGAAACTACGAATCAAACAAAGAAATGGCATTACCGAAAAAAAATTCCAAGGTCCGAAAAGTTTCTTCTAAATATGTGTCTCCGCCACCGTTGAAAAACCGAAAACATGTTCAATACATCATACGAACCGAACCGAATCCGAACCGACCCCAATACATGTCAGCAATAAATATCGAAAAAAAATCGCAACATGCGCGAACCGAACCGAACCGAACCTAAACAGCCATGTACCAATCAGACGCATGTCTACACCAGGCTGTTGGCAAACAATGGTCTGGTTAGCGGGCGTTTCCCATGCCTGCGTCTTCTCGCATATGGCCATGATCTGTGACGCAGCCCTTGCACGACCTTGAGGATGTTTGCTGGTGCTGCCCGGGCCTGGTGTTGAATGTTCCGCTGCCAGAAGCTATGAAAGGCTTCTAACGTTTGTGTGCCTGTTGCACTCCCAGGATGAATCCCCAAGATTCCAGCCCAGCAATCCGACCAAAGAATGGATTTGGGCGTGTTGGGGGTGCTCGAAGACCATACATGCGAGGCAGGGTGTCCGCAGGAACCTCTCGGACGCATTCCTTCTGCAAATATTGCAGGATAGAGACAGCTCATTTGCCCGGAACTCCTGGGAAAAGAGCCACCAAACATTGCTGAATAGTTCTAGTGTGGTGGGCAAGTGGCGCGTGCAGCGCAACATCTGCAGAACGCGCTGGCGCCACTCCTCTGTGGTCTTCTTGGTCAAGGTGGCTTGAGTTGCCCGCATCATGTGCGGATAGTCGTTAGCTGGACGAGCTTTGGGGAAGACATTGCGGCGGGCGACTTCGATGCTGTCATTGAAGTCTGCTTGAACCTGCAAAACCCAGTCCAGCAGATCATGGCTCAACTCCGCTTTCACCATTCCCACGAGGGTTTTGGAAGACCTGAGTCCAATTAGCAGCAGAATCACCGTCCATGTAGCTTTGCACTTGGATTTTCGGCAGGTTCGTTCAGGGTGCAAAGGAAACCCCTGCAGGGCAGAAAAAACCGGCAGGGTAGAAACGAAGCCACCGCAAGGTATAAAGGACACCTCCGCACAGCAAGAAAAAACATGGCTGGTGCCTTAAAGGGACCCCCATGCCATGTCAACATACCTCAGCATAATTTAGATATTATTCAGGACCCCTTGGACATAGAGTTCAGGCGCGGCCAATAGGAGGACAAGAGGAGGACAAGGCCTGGACACAAACCCATAGAGCCCAGCCACAGAGTTCAGGGGCGCGGCCACGAGGATGACAAGAGGAGGACAAGGCCTGGACACAGAGCCAGGCCACAGAGGATAAGAGGAGGACAAGGCCTACACACGAAGCCCAGCCACACAAATAAGAGGAGGACAAGGCCTGGACACAAAGCCCAGCCACAGAGGAGAAGAGGAGGACAAGGCCTGAACACAGAGCCCGGAGAAGAGGAGGACCCAGTAAACTGTTTGGGGAGCAAGGGGGGGACAAGGCTTGGACACAGAGCCGAGCCACAGAGCCCAGCCACAGAGTTGACAGAGTTCAGGGGCGCGGCCAAGAGGAGGACAAGAGCCCAACCACAGAGTTCACAGAGCTCAGGGGCGCGGCCAAGAGGAGGACAAGGCCTGGACACAGAGCCCAGCCACAGAGTTGCAGAGGTCAGGGGCGCGGCCAAGAGGAGGACAAGGCCTGGACACCGAGCCCAGCCACAGAGTTCAGGGACGTGGCCAGTGATTGTGGCCAGCTCTTTTCTTTCTAAGATAGAACCCCAACAGTAAACTGTTTGGGGAAAACACCTATATATCTAGATGTCAGCTAGAGTTCCTGGCTTCTTAAAATGACATATAAGTATAAAGGGTCTGTAGCAAACTGATGCAGGACATGTCTCTGGATTCACTCTGATTTTTAGCATTGCTTCTGGGAGGTCTTCTTTGAATCTTCATGTTTGTCTTTCTCTCTTCATGGGCTTTGTTTTGATCCTCTAACCAAAGTGTCTATATGCTCTTGAACAATTATTCCACTTCTTTGTCAATGGTCCAGACCCCCCCGGCGTCCCCCAAATAATTGTCCCAGTTTAACTATTCCAGAAACCCACATAACCCTTGGAATAACTATTCAGAGCACCACACCAAAAATACACCAGCAAACGAGCGGTCATATGTGAATTTGATCCCAAATGGGCTTTGGATGCCAGCAAATTGGAAAAACTGCTCGAACCACCAAAAAACGCTCGAATTTGGAAACAATGCTCGAAAAGCTTGAAAGTAGGGTGGAGCAGAAATAAGTGTATCGAATGGTTGCCTAGGCAAAGTAGAAAAGAATTCACCACAGGGTGAAATAGAAACTCCAGTATGTTGACGCAGAACCCTGACAAGGGTGGCAAGAGAAACCCTGCAGGCCGGACGGTCAAAAAGAAACCCTCATCGGGTCGAAGTAACTCCGGCAGTGCGACACAGACCTTCCTGGTGGAAAGGACACCCCTGCAGGGCGGGACAGAAACCGCACGATGGAGAATACGGGAAGACAGGGTAGAACAGCCTACAGGGCAGCCTGCGCGTCGGAAACAACCAGGTCCGCAAAGGGCGGACGAACAAACCAGAAAAACCCTACAGGGCGGAATTCAAACTCAGCCCCTCCTCTCTTTAGAACATGAATCTATGGAATCCAGCAACTAAGACACCTTTTCGGGACCTAACATGACCCAACTGCCATCAAACATACATACAGCTCCACACCAAGTTGCAGGGTCGAATGCGCAGTCACACTGGAAGTTTTGCTGGGCGGTCCGTTTCCTCTCTGGCTGTGACCTACACCTTCGGAGAAGTTGGCAAAGTTCTTGCAGTCCAGCTGTCCAGCTCCGAAATCTACCCAGCTCCCAAGTGGAAGATCCAAACATCATCAAACATCATCACCCGCACCAATTCCCCAAGGCTCCTGGAAGCGCGCGCTTCCAGCATTCACTTCTCCATACTTCTGCGGCTGCGCCAAAAGGTTCTGCCTCAGAGCTCAGCTGATTGTGACATCCAGCATCCTGCCTGTCTTACTTTCTGTTTACAGCCCCGACTGTAAACAGCGGCGCACTCGGTGCCTGGTAGGCCTCGGTGCCTTGACTGCGGCACTGGGGGAGTTGGTCTGGATTCAGTTCGTGCGACGTCTTCTCCAAAAACAGACCTTACATATCAAAGCACCACGGGGTCAGAGACCACCAGAGGTCACCAGAATTCGCTCCTCCGAAAAAAGTCCTCGTCTTCATCCTATGGCTGCCATTGCCCCCCCAGCATTCCTCCCAGCGGCAGCATCAGCGCCAAGGTCTGCATCGAACGCCGGAAGGCGGCGCGGTTTTGAGCGCTTGCAGCACTGAGCTCGTCCAGGGCTTCAGTGACGTTCTGGAACCAAGCAGCTTCCACCTGCAGGGCGTCTTGGTCATTGGTCGTGGCTTCCTGGCCGATGGTGGTCATAACCAGTGGTAAAAAAGAACATGTACAGCTCAAAGCATCGTTTTTCACACTTGACTATTGACACCTATATAAATAACAATAAGCAATTATATATACATAACTATATAGTTATACAAGTCGATGAGTAGCCCGCGAACCCCAACGCATCCTCCAAGGGAATTGGTCCTCAATGAATCCCCGAGTAACTCGCACGCCTGGTGGTCCGTGTGCTTTCCCACTCAGAACCGGCGAACATGCTACCCTATCAACATCCAGCGAAGGTATGACAAATGATTGGACTTCTGGGCCCAGGTGGAATGAATCGGTGCAATGGGCGGCCGCCATCATCCCATGTGAAGAGTTCCTCCACCGGGTTGGATCTCTCCGATTGGATCTCGACTTCCACCGGACCTGTCTTGGAGGATCAGGGTTTCAAAGGCCAAACTATTGATTAATTGCTGAGTTGCGAGGGGTAGGAAACTAGGACACTCCAAAGTCGAAGGCAAGATCCACTTGGTTTTCGGGTTCCGATCCCAGCTTGGTTTTAGGGCGCCCCAACCCGCCCCAACCCGCCCTCCGTTCCGTTCCGTTCCGCGCGGACCGGTCCGCGGAACTCTCCGCCTGATCTGCATCGGGTCTCACGAGGGACTTGAGGAGTTTCCAAGACTCGGAGCCGATCTCCATGCGCTGCCGGCGTCCTGGGAGGCGGAGCAACGGGCCGTTTCCTGGCCGGTTTGTCGAATGGTAGATGTATTATGGAGACCTCCGAGACGGACCGGAAAGCGCGATCTTCCCAGTGGTTAGGGGTCTCCCTTAAACAATGCACCCGCAGATAGACTGGACGAGTTTGGGTCGGTGGATTGTTCTTGATATGTAGTAGTGCTTTCAGAATAGATTGCACAAACCTAAAGAACCCCAAAGATGTCTTTTATATGGGGGTCCAAACAAACCACTTTTGGGGATTGTGCCATCTACTCTGAAACCACTGTAGTGATGTAAGAGGAGAGGTGCACCCCTCTAGGGAAACGGCCTCGTGGACCCTCGAACAGTCAACAGTCCCACAACTCTGCGCTGTAAACCCAAATTGCTTTCCGCTCGATTCCAATGGACTAATGGACTGGGGTGTTCAGCGTTTCCTACGTTTTGTAGGATTTCCAAGGTCCACGTTGTGTCAATCATGGAATGCAAACTTCACCGGTGATCTGCAGCTGGACCATCCCCACTCCAATATGCCACCCAAACCCACCCCAAACCAAGCATCCCCCCAAACCCCTCCCACTCCGAACTCCTGCGGACCCCCCCAAGAACCACGCACCACGGCCCAGGCGTCGAGTGAACTCGTCGCTGCTCCGTCGGAACTCCGAGGTCGACATCCTCGGGGTCGGGACGCCGTCGCCGTGCGGGGCCCCGTCCGGTGCTCGGGTTTGGTTTTGGAGTGGTTCTGTATCTTTTTAGAAGGTGAAGCCAGAATGAGATGTGCTGGTCAATGCTAGAAAGGAAAAAGGAAAAGCAACAAAAGAAAAACACTTGTGGGGTTGCCAGATGTTGCCAGTTGTGGTTCCTGAAACTCATTTCTGGTCCTTCTGTTGGGGTGAATCTGTTCACTTTTGGGATGCTCCTGGTTCCTGTGAGATTAGTACAATAGAGGATTTGGATGATGGCCATTGCCAAACACCTTGGCACACAAACCATGGAATTAGTGACCATCCCCAGTTCATCTTTGGGTTTCGCATTTTCTGGGGTGCTGGATGTTTACCCTAAATCATTGCAAAAGATTGGAGATGGACATATATGGACATTTCATGGGATTCACGGATCAATCTGAAGACTGTTTTCGTCACAATCACGAGCCGATTAGACATCCATGGGATCGGCTTCCTGTTTCGTCTCCAACCCTCCCCTCCGGAGCCATGGTCGAACACCGATGATCGACCGTCGGGACCGGAACGAACGAACGAAGCTGCACGAGGAACGAACTCGTTCGAAAGAAGCGAAGGTAGACCGAACGAACTCACGTCTCCTCAGGAGGCCTTCTAGAAGGGGATGATATATGTAATGACATTCACATGAAGCATGAGATTGAAATCAGCATGAATTCCCTCATCTCTAGCTGCTCAAAGGATGCGCCCAGTGTCTGATGAAGCCGTTCCTGCTGCTCCGCCTGGCGCCGCAGGAAGGCTGTTTGCTCGCGCGCCTCGGCAGCAGAGCCACGCAGCGCGCTCAGCACGTGGGTGAGCCTGCGCCAGAAAAAAGCGGTGTGTCAGGGGGTTAGGCGAAGAAACACGAATCTGTCAATGAATATGTTTTTCAAAATCTGTTTGAGAAGTTCCTATCCTGACATTCCCCCCCAAAAAAGTCGAAAGTCGAGGCCTAGATAGGCCTAGTCGGGGCCTGTCTTGCCATACCGATTCCTCCATGGTCTAAAAATTCGCTCCTAAACACTTCGTTCCAGCTTTGCCAGGGGTTCAACCCATCAAAAGCGTCAGGGGTTCGGATGACAAGGCCGTCGCTTCGGATGGCTCGTCAGATAGTCTTTGACTGGGGCGCAGCGCCTCTAAGACGTGTTTATGAACGTTTATGATCTATTTTCCTCATTCATAAGGAGTCCCCATCCGCTTTTGAGCGGTTTAGGTTCCAAGTGATTTCACTATGATTCACTCACCAAAAACAGGCTGTGAAAAAGAAACAACATAAAACATCTCAGAAAGCAGGCGTAGGGGGTTGTCAGTTGACAACCGCACAACTGATTGTTGTATGGGTCCTTGACCGTTCCAGTAGCCCTTCATGATGCAACATCCTTTGGCTGCACTTGGCCGCTTCCTGATTCTGTGCTGGGTCATCCCTGCACATGATTTAATGTGTCCTTGTCCCTCAAGCATCATGATTCTAATTTGATTCAAGTTCTCCATGATTTTTGTTAGGTGGGGTATCTTACTATGCATTTAGGAATGTGCTCTTCACGACTTGGACACAAGATGAAACCAGTCATTTCCACTTTCCATCTGACCAACTTGTGGCCAGTCCAGTCGGATCAGTGTCGCCTCTCTTTCTCCGGGTCCACCATCTGGAGCGCCAGCTCCCGGGCCCTTTGGGCGGCCGCCCGAGCAGAACGGCGCCACTTGAGGAAGCGCAGCAGCAGGGAGAAGGCACCGCCAATGGCCAGTCCAGACCTCGGATTTACAGTGGTGTCAGAGTAGATGGCACAAGTTACCCCAAGTTCGGTGGTTTATATGCACCCCTATCTAAAAGACATGTATATATATATATTAATATATAGGGGTGCCAGTGCCATCTACTCTGAAACCATGGAAAGAATCACAGGCGTGTGGTTGGAGCACATCCTTGATTTCTCCTCATGCAAGCGCAGTCAGCACGCTTGCACACGACCAGTTCATCTTCTAGACTCCAGACTAGACTGTGTTGGTTACTTACCTAGCCCTGCAGGTACGTATCGCACAAGGGATCATTCATTCGACTTGCTTATTATCCTTGGCATCAGTTAGATCAGTAGTGCTGGTCAAGGTACTTTAATGTACGTTTCATTTCAACTCTTGAAGGATTTTCATGCGCAGCACCGGCCAATAAACCTACCTTTCACCACTGCTTGCGCACAGCCACTCACCTTACCGTCGGTGCAGTTGGGCCACAGCAGCAGCACCCACCAGGGTGCCCGCTGCCTTGTCTTGATGCTCAGCGCATGCCATGGGCTTACTGCCTCAGTGTCCAAGCTGGGATGTTAGTCTACAGAACTCTCGCAACTACGTTTTCTTGCTCAAGTGATCGCCGGCCGGTGAACGAACGACTCCGACGCGAACGAACGAACGAACCAATCGGCCGCTCCAGGCCGCCTGCTCACCTGCAGCCAGCGGCAGTTCGGACCGCTCCCGAGCCATCCGATTGCGCGGTTTTGGTCCGGAAGGATGATGGAACCCAGCTGCCCATGGATGATGGAAGAGTCTCATTTCGTCTCCCCAAGGGTGGAAAATGACGGGGAGACGCACCTGGACTCAGGAAGGGGGTGGAACCGGGTGGGACCAAGGAACCAGACAGCTGGCACCCCAGCTTTTCAGTTTTTGGGCCTGGAAATTCCAGGGTTTTCCCAAACTCCTGGGAACCAAAGTGACCGAACACTACCGTGACTGAGGACTGTGCACCACTCCCGTGCTGGATTCAGTAATCTTTCGTCACCAAAGCCGGCAATCAATGCACCTAGATGTCCACTCAGCTGTGCTTCTATTTCAGGTTCACCGATCAGTTCCCATTTTGGCATCCACCATCTGAATCCCAGCCACCAGCGCGATCATGGGCGCCGGAGGCGGCGTGCTGGGGGGTGGCCCCGCCAGCGCCCGCCGCATCGCTTCCGAGACCTGTGGGTGATTATGGGTGCCCGTAGTATCCCGGAGTGAGAGGGAGGAGGAGGAGGAGGAGGAGGTACCAAAGGTTCTTTGGAAGTTTGGAGATTTTTCGGGTGGGGGTTCTTGTCTTCATGCTTTGTGTTGCTTTGGTAGTTGAGTAGGTTGTTGGTGGTGAGCTAGTGGCTTCTTGGTGATGGGTTAGTGGTTCGTGGTTTGGTGTTGGCAGTTCAGAAGTAGACGTTCAAGTGACTTGGTAGCGTCTGAGCTACATATGGGGGCATGCAACTGGGAAATTGGGGAAGACTGGGGACCAAAGCGGGAAGCTATCTATTATTACATGCTTGTTCCTCTTGTAGGGGATCCCCATGCCACGCATTCGTGAACTGCTGGTTTGTGCTTGCAATGCCAGTGTTGTAGAGTGAGCAAGCCCACTGCCATAATTAGTCTCATCACGTGAACCACTCCTCCACTAAGGAACTGCTAGTCACCATGGAATCCTTGGATGGAAGGGTTTTCAGTGCAAGGCTCGGTTCACCATGAAATACACAGTGCCCTCCACTGGTGGAGAAGCGTCAACCCCTGAAGCACCAGGAAGTGGCAGGAAGACGTTGGATGTGTGCGTGGCCGGCAGGCACTGGTTCAGAGCGATGTGAAGGAAGGACGTCCCAGGTGGTACAGGTGGTGCTGTTGAGCACAGCCGAGCACGGAGACGTCGTAGCTGTGTGCTTCCGGGGACGCGCTGTGAGTCGTCCAGCAGTCGATCGAAAGCACGTCAGGCAATGTCAGACATATATATACCCTAACCTTCCAACGTACATGGATACCATGGGCATAG